TTTTGTTCAGTGAACGATCTTGTAATGAAATTTCAACTGAAGAATTATACAACTAAAATTGTAAAATTTGAGCGATATTATATTATAGTAATTATAAAAGCGCTGTCGCGATTTCTCACGACACTCGATTTATCCCAACCGGGATATTTTCACATTACGGAAGTAAGTAGTTTTCGTTGCTTCCTGTTATCTGCGTAAGCACACGCACTGAAGGAAAGTCATTGAACGCAGGATGGAACTACTGTCGATTAGCTCACCACATTGTTTGTATCCGTTCGTTTTGCGAAACGAGCACATTCGCACCGTAATAAAATTAGCAATTCTTTCTCTTCCCTCGCCGTAAAAGAGAGACCCCCGACTAAATAAACATCATAAATTTCCGCCGAGTCACATATATTGTTCGAAATGTATCGAATTATTTTAATATGAGCAATATAAAATGAAACATGTTTAGGACTTGACATAAAACTGGAAGCTTCTGGGAAACATAAAATGTGATAGATTGCCTTGCATACGAAGAAAAAATGTTGATATGGAATATATTATATTATTACGAATGAGTAAACTGCTCTATGGGACAATAACCATAAAAGAAAATTTAAATTAATATTAATTAAGAAATAAAATGTTTTTATTAATCAAAATTTGATAAATATGCATACCTACATATATTTATATTAATATAAGTCTTTTAACACTATAAATTTTTTTTACAATGTGTACAATACCTATCAATATTCATAAGAATTTAATTTCTGGAATTTGATCTATATATCTATGTGTGTATATCCGGTTTAAATTTCGAAATATCTGTAATTTTGCGGACACGAAATAATTTAATCCCTGAGATGCGATGCCAACAACTCATAATTTATCTATCGCAATCTGCGGTTTTTGCTCTGCATAAGTACACGGGTCCCCCTATTGCACATACAGGATATGATATTGTGTATATGATATATTGTAATGCACAAGTTATATACATTTGGAGGTTGAGTTACGAGCTATAAGAGTTTCTTTTTAACGTTACGTGGCACTGAAAGCGGATAGATAAGAATTTAATACGGATTTCGATCTCGGGGAACCACTTTCCATTGCTTAATCCGAAACACTGTTCGCAATCTCTGTCTATTCCAATTCGAAAAGAAAGCGAGTATATGTATATACACGGTATATACGATTGTAAAAAAATCGACTTGACTCCATCCGCCTCTCGATGCCCTCGAGATGCTGGATGCGAAATCGCGCTGCATCTTCGAGGAAGGCGAGGAATGATTTTTCGCAATCGGGATGATCCTCCTCTCGCTTTTCTTTCTCTCATCTCTCGGCTGCATGTAATAATACGATGAAACCAGTTGCCCTTTACTTGACTCTTCGTCTTCGGTTCTCCGAGTGTAACGTTGACATTTATAACCCGCAATTATTCTTCGTGTTAATTAACGCCGTCGTAGAATGAGGACCGCGATGATTAATTTATTCGCCTTTGCTCGTCCACTGAAACCGACAATATGGCGAATTCAGGCGTCATCGGGAATAATGACCCAAATTAATTTTTTTTTCTGCGGTCACGAGCGAAAGTGACATTCCTTTTGTGATTTTTATTATTTTTTTTTTTTTTTCGAGTATTTTGACGCATTTGGGATAATTTAATATCTGTCACTTTCTCGTAGCGAGATTGCCGGATCCCCTTTTTTGCGAAAAATGTATTCTAATCTCGTATTGCGCCTTATCTACAAACCGCAGAATCTAATTTCATCAAACCGACTAACGATCGAGTTAATTAAATTTCATGTCTATTTGTTCGGATATGAGGTGATTTCTATTAACATAATTTAAGATAATTTGATCTCTCTCTCTGCCTCTTTCTCTCTCTCTTAGAGAGTCGACGAATCGACTTCTTCGTGAAATAGCTATATTTTTTCAGCTCGATTAACAAACAAGTAGCAATAGGATAAATAAAATGTCACCCTGATAATGCAGCAATGACGCAAACTCGTTTCTGCAAGGCCAGGAAAAATCAATGTATTACATGCGATTTCTACCTTTGCAATTTCGTAGAAATTAGTCATCCTTTCCAAATAATTAATCATTCTCTTTTATTCTTTCTTTTTATGAAATTTCAACACCCTGCGATATATCTCATTTATTTGTATAAAATTTTAAAGTCTAATACAATTAAATCAAACGACAATGAATCAAATTAGATGTCAGCACACCAACACACTGAGAACGAAAACAATGGGCCGAATTTACATTCTATTGTTTGGCAGGTTTCCAGGTGAAAGCATTTCTTTTTCCGGACCAATTATGTTCTAGACTTTTAGATCTTTGCGATATGACACATATACACAATGTTCTTTTATAAATCCATAAATTCTAGAGAAACAGCTGTTAAAGTTTTATGTGAATCAGATAATTTTGCACGATATTTGCAATGACAATTTTAATTAATTCTGTAGCGCGACAATTTTCGTCTATAATTGAACGCTGTTTATTCATATTTTAAATGCATAATAATTATATAATAATTATATACATATCACCAAATTAAATGTTACGTAATTTAAAGATTTTATGGTTGCTTCTACACTGAAAAATTATTAAATTCACAAATATTTATTTCAATACTGCCTAATAAATTATTTATTTGAAACAAATAAATATTTATCTGTTTTGAAAAGAATTTTCTTATATTAAACAGATATTTTTCACATTAAATCAATATTATTAGTTTCAAATAAATGATTTATTATGTAGTATTGGAATAAATACTTATTCAAATTCAATAATTTTTTTTCAGTGTACAATTATTTGAACTTTAATTATCAAACAAAATAATTTTTTTATGCAAAATCAATATTGACGGCTGAAAAATATGTATATTATTCTATATAAAATCAATGATGTTTATCTTCTTCTATTGTAGACGTCGCGAATTGATCGTTAATTAGAATAATATGAAGATCCGCATATGCTTGAATGTAATCTTATGATTACTTAACGACAGCATAAATAACAACTTTCAATTAAAAATATACATATACGAAGCGGCACAATGGATCTCTTTCTACGACGTGTGATTCTCGGTTCTCTCGCGGTGTATCTAGAGTAACCTATATGAAATTGCTTATTATCGTTGCACACGAAGGTCGTTTTTTTTATGCTCGGTTGGAAAGTTTTATTTCTTATTAAAACAATAAGACACACTTTTTTGCTTCAGTGTATAACCCCGTTGCTTTTACTCTCATAGATTTCTCCGCGTCCGCGAGTTATTCTCGTTGGTTTGCGGCCTTAATTCTTCCTTAGAATTGAGAATTTTAGAAAGGATTTACTATATGAATTACTATAGAAAGTAAACTGTTCAGGAAGAAAGAATTTTAATTGCTTAGATATCTTTTTTTAAGAAAAATTATACTATTAAATTATTACGAACGAAACATTTCTCCGGAAGAAAATAAATTAATTCCTCTAACATGAGAATTTTTCTCTCAAATAATTCTTTTTTATAAATACAAATTAAGATATTTTCTATAAACAATATGTTTGAATTTTGATATATTTTACGCCTTGATGTGCACATAGCTCAATATATAATTCAATAAACCACTAAATTAAATAGTGAACATTTTAAAGCATTAAATGTTCATATACCATATTTAAATTACGAAAGATCAAAATATACATAACACATTTTATGATTTAAAATTAATTTGCATAATTAGCCACCATGCAGGTTATTATCTTTTGAATGATCTCGTGTAACGATTTATTTTTAACGATTTTATTTTTCCTAACTTTGCCTTTTAGCTTATGGTCATCATAATCTTAACAAGTTATTTATAGTTTTCATAAATATTAATTAAAGTTAACTCAGCTAGTTTCGCGCGATTCTGCTTTAGCTCTATATACAAAAAAGATGACAGAATCTTATTTATATATCTTAATTAACTCGAACTGATATTTCAACATTTTCATTGTCATCAAAAACACAGTTATGCTGTTCATGCAGCATTGCATATTTCACTTTTTTACGTTATAAAAATCGTTTTCGATTTGAGTCTGGAAATTTTCCACGAGACTAAATTTGTTTTCGAAAATTTGACATTTTGTTAAAAAAGTTTTGAATCTATATTTACGGTTCGAGTCGTTGCTTCCTTTCAATTTTGTTCTCCGCAACAAGAAATCGATTTTTATACAAGTTCATTCACAGATAGACGTTTGAAGCTTTTGGCGCGAATCCGTCGACATTAATAATCCGTCAGCGTTAATAATGAATGCAACTTTCCTTCCGGGATCGACGTCGTTGCACTTGCTGCACGCCACTTCAACACATTCGCAACACTCATATTTCTTCGCGCGGTTTTCAGTTTCATGCACGCGTGAATTCATCGCGAAGGTTAGTTTCGGATTCCTCATTTTCGCATTTCGCCCTGGGTGTGGTGAAAATTATATAATCGCGAAATTTCCTCATAGCGCTATCTATTACATGCCAGTGAGCAAGATACCTCTCTTTCTCATTTGCTCGCATAATTAACACGACTCTCAAATTTTCGCAAATGTGTTATGTATATCGGATGGAAGAAAATAGAGATGGGGTGTCTCAATATCACGCGTTGAATATTAATCAAAAAGGGAAAACATTTCTTAATTTAAATATCAACTCTAACAAAATAAGAATTTGAAGGAAACGATAGAAAAAAATATTAGTTATACTATAGCTCAATTTTAACTGTAGTTAATTTTTTAGCCTTATAGAATTCTCCGTTAAACTATAATTAAAAAATATTAGTTACCGTAAAGTTTAGGCATGATAATTAAATTTCAGGTTGCAATATAGGAACAGCTAATATTTAGTTAAATTTTTTTTGTGTTTTATAAATGAATGAAAAAGCGAGATTTGAAAATATTCGCGTCTTTGTCGTCGAGCTATATTTACCGTAAAGCGCTAATTATTTTCAATTACGTTTTCATTTACGAGGAAACGCTATTTTCTGTTTCAGCGATGTGACGCAACCAGTCAGGAATATTTTTATGCAAAATGATTCGCGCCCTTGTCCTTCTCTGCATGGCCATCATTCTACCTCTCTTACGATGCCACAAGGTAAGATCGCAGTCAAGACGTCCAAGGACGCGTTGTTATCCTACGTGCAATTACTTCTTTTAAGACAAAGAGCGCATATATATGCAAGTACAGAGATGATTTTTACCGAATTATAAAATAAAACGACGACACAAACAAAATGTGATGACGACTCGAAAATTCACAGTATGCGAACAGTGTGTCTTACAACTTACAGCCATATCTTTATTTATTCAAGTAATGCCTTCTTATCCCCGCTTTACATCGTGTAAATTCTACGGAACATAATTTCAAATGTCTCGTTCTCAAGGGACTCGTTATGCTGTACGTTCCATCGCGCAAACTTTAATTTACACGTATATATACACGATTTTAACGCTCGAATATTATTTACGGCGCGTTATGACACGCGAAGAATTAATTAGCTTGAAGCTCCATAATGCGGGGTGAGAAAAATTAATGACGCGTCATAACTTCGCGGATTGCGCGCGATAAATGCTGGGTGCGCCGAGTATATTTACGAGAAAATTACATGGACGATCGTCTGCTCGCGCTTGTACACCATTTGTCATAATTCTCACAATCCGCTTTTTTTATCTTCCGAAATTTTTATTTTCAGTCGTCGAATCGGAAAAAAAATCATATTTACATATTAATGTCTTTTTTTTCTTTCCTCTCGATAATCGATTCGGGTGATGTCAGAAATAAATAATGCGTATAAAAGCACCATATAAATAGGAGATACGATATATAAGCAGGTACATTGAATTACATAAATTTAAAATCCGCTACATGTTTGTCTCGACATCGATTTATTTTGATTTCCGATATATGCGCGTTTTTATATTTCAGTGAATTTCCTTCCTCGAAAGATACCAGACACGCATTTTTACGCTTGTGTAAAAAAATGACACTTGTTAAATACGAGAGCACAAACAGGATTACGTGTCAATGATCGGCGCGTAATTAAGAAAGCGCGTGAAAAACGAAAGGATTGCGATTAATGGCACGTTACGATTCAGCACGCGTCGCTCGAGCGCGTCATCTTGTCGTAGATAATCATCGCGAGCGTGGTCAACGGCCGGCTCTCCTCTATAACTTACGTAAGAGCTTCGCGCACGAAATTGCAATCAAATCATCGAACCGTTCGACGCTGTTTAGCTGTATCACCCTGCTTTCGTTTTCTTTTTCATTTATTTTTAACGCGAATAATAATCGCGCCATTTATTTCATTATGATATCGGACGATAACGAACGTGATAACGATTAGCAAAGTCGAGCAAAAGGAGCGAAAGCTAAATTCAGATAAGTCGGTAAAAATATTAGTAATTTTGCGAGTTTTAATTGATTTATTAATTTTATTAATTATTTATCATTTTTAATCTAAATAATAAGAATAATATACATATATCTATATATATATATATAATTTTTGTATATATTTTTGTTATTAATTTTTTTAATAAATATTTTTGTGAGAGTTTAATAAACTTTTGGAATTTGAACAAATTTACAACTCGAATACTTATATGGAATTTGAATGTTTGTTGAAAAGACACGTTATTGACAAAAATAATAATTATAGTAATATTTTTAATTAAATATTCGATACTATGTCTCATATCATTATTTCACACATTAGCATTTATTAAGATACACATGTTTTTTATTAAATTGCAATAAAAAAAATATTGAAATGCGGCATAAAAGAAATATAAATAGAATTAAAACATACTTGACCAGGTATAATAAAATATATTTAATTATCTAGATCCTATATTTTACGAGCACACCTATTAATAAAAACATCAATAGCTTTATGATGCGAGCGTTTGTTTAGTCGTCGGCAAAGTGCGATAGGTGGGAAAAAATCTTGATATAACAAACTTGTTAAACATTATAATTACGCAAAAAATGTTCGCATACTTTCCGCAATGACAGCCTGCCGATATACTTATGTAACTCTCTTCTCGTTGGGAAATGATACAAATAATGACTTTCCTAGACAGTTTCCAGAGTGAAACCGTTATTTCCGGCAGCCGTTCCACATGATCAACATGATTTACATGATTTCGAGATGTATTCATTGGCCGGGAAAGACCGAAAGAGCGAAACCGGAACGCGATCCTATCTCTCTCAGGGAATAAATCCACTTTTCTCTACTCGCTATCGATTATATGCGCGCGAAATACATTATGCGATTGAAATGTGCGACTTGCCGTTACGGTTACGGATTATTGCAAAATTAATTGCTACTTGGACCATCGTCAGAAATTCTCGCTTACCTGTCCGATTTGACACAAACGCATGATAAAGTACCCTAATCTTACGTCAAATAAATTTCAGTTAAATCAGCTGATTTTTTTCACATGTTGTAGCCAATGTTTGCTGTTATCTAAATAAAATTATATAGATGATTATCTAGATGAAACTTTTTGGCGTTATCTCATCTTTATATAGATAATAAAAATGTGTCTGAATCTTAAATGAAAAAAAATGTTACCTGTACTAAATTATTAAATTATAACTGTGTTTACATAAGCGGTCTTAAAAATAATATTATCTGAAAGCTATCTCGATGAATCATCATATAATTTTATCTTTTATCTAGATATATTTAAAATAAAATCATCTTTATCTTTTATCTCAAATAAATTTAAATATTTTACTCTCATTTTTATCTAGCTAATTTTGAAATTATCTAAGCACAACACTGATAGCTTATGATCTGTTGAAAAAAGATGTAATAGCTTCAAAGCTAAATAAGTAAAGGATAATTATTAATTCGAGCTTGCAAAGCTCGAATTTTTCATGTTTGACCGATTGTAAATTAGTATAACTGTCTATTATTTAACTTTGAGCCTACTACATTTTTTATTCAGTAGATCATAAGCTACAATACATGAGAAAACCAGCTGATTTTATCGGAATACAATTTCATCTTTATATAAATTCAAAAATTTTGCGCTAATCCTATATAAAATTGAATCTTAATAAAATCTACTTTTCTTATATGTTGTAGAAATATATAAGCCGTAACATATGAAAAAAAGCTGATTTAACCGGATCCATTTAACGTAAGATTAGTGCGGGGTACTTCGCAGAAAACCATTATGTCAAATAAAAAGTGAATTCGAAAAGTATCGATATACCGTGTGAAAGTTGAAGATTTCACGTAAGAAAATAATAGATATTATTCGATAAAAATTCGAAGGAATTTTTCCCCGACGAGGAAACAAACGCGCACACACTCGACGCTTTGTTGGGAATGAAACGATCGCTTTGCGCTCGCGCAAATCGATCGACTCTCGATCGGACACTCTAGTAATGAGCGAAAGTGATCGACCTTAAAAGCCCTGGAGTTCCCCTTTGATCGTTTCGCTGCAGCCCGATTTCTGCGACACCGCGCAGTGGAGTAAGTAAACTGCCTGCTAAATGGTAGAAGCAGACCTTGAAATGCGATTGGAAAACAGAATATGCGCGCATACCCGTCGATTACAGGACTGTCGCTGTAAACCGGACGAGTCGTGACTCCGAGAACACTTGAAAAATCGCTGTCTTTTGATCCGAACAAAGTCTAGCGATCAATCACATTTGTCAGGAGTCGCGCAATGACTGACATGACTGTAAATAGAATTTGCATTAATATTCGATAATTATTATTAATTATTTTATTATTTATTATTTATCAATTAATAATCATTATTCATTATTAACTAATTTTATTAATAATTAAATAATTTTTAATGATCTATATTAATATATGAATTTAACCAAGGTAGAGCTTTACTTTATATTATTCTATTAGCAGAAGCTATATATATATATACATATATATATATATATATTAATATAGCTTCTGGTAATATATTAATATATATTATTGTAATATGATATATATTTAATTAAATTAAATATAAAAATATATTAAATTAAATTAAATTAAATATAACAATTATAAAAATGTTTACAGTTGCTAATATACAGTTAAATTCGTCGTTACTTAACAAATTACTCGGCTTAATAGCACGTGTTGTGAAATGTAAAATTTCAGTCGTGGATTAATTTACAAGTAATTCCACGCTAGTACTACCGTCTGTGACGTAACTTTTTGCGACACGAAACGTGATGTCTTTTCGCCGCCGGCGTTACCATTCCCGATTACATTATTTTACATTACATTACTGCATCGCTCTAGCTTTGTTCGCTTATATAGACAACGCGATCGAAAAAGTATATATATTTCGTGCAAAAAATCGCAAAAAAGTGAAAATTAAAGTCGGAGAACCGTCAAGAGAGAGGAAAGTGGCGAGCGAGCGAGAAAAAAAGCGACGAAATGACACATAATGGCACATAATGATGAAATTGCGAATCCAGGAAGTTGGATGTCTCGCGCAGAGATCTCTTTCTCTTCATTCACATTCTAGTCGAGTTTCCTCATTCAAATATAATTACGGTGTTTGAGCGAAATTTCTTGCGATTTATTCACTTCATCTCACATGCGCGCGCAATACGTATTCACATTTTTCTTTTTACGTTTGATCTGTCATAGATTATACGTATATTTATACTTGAAAAATTGAGTCCGCGCCAATCGATCCCTATCAGCGATATTAGATAGAACGTGCGATATAGATATTACGACGATCACGATCTCGATTACGTAAGAATATTGCGACACCCGTGTGTTCACCTAAACTCATTTGTGTTTCAGATCCACGAACATATGACAAGGGAAGAGATGCTATCGGTGTTTTACACGGGACACGAGTCCGGTAATAACAGCAAATAAATATTAAAAAAACGGTGTAACTCGTGCGGTTATCCTTTGACGTCTCGTTCCTTCCGGAGACGCGATGTAATAAAAAAAATGATTAAAACATCAGGTCATCGGCTAATGAGATTCTAACGCAAATAGTGAAGACGTCAAGGATAAATTGTTCGAATAGATCTATTCTACGCGTGCGATATCTCTGGTAATTAAAAATAAGGGATAATGCATGCATGATCGTTTGCTCCTTGTGAAACTTCGAGTTCAGGTTTTTTTCCTCGGTCGGAAAATGTCGAGAAAAGATCATCGCTCTTCGTGCAATTAAATGCATATTAAATGAGTGAATTAAAATTCTGTTGAAATGAGATTTTACGCGGAGTTTATTGTCGGGCGCGAATAAATTTTCTCCGAGACTTTTACTATATATGAGGAAACATTTCTTTATTCTTGATGACAGTCTTTCTTACTTGACACGTTCTGGGAAAAAATCGAATATGAGAAGCGTGAATAATTTTTCGACGAGGTCGTTAAACTCAAATTCTCCGTCGTGAATCATTCTTGATAAATATTCATTTACATATTCTCATACGAGAATATGTAATTGAAGACTCGTCAATGACCTTAGAAAGGGTCTCCTCTCATCAGTCTTTCGTATTAAATGACGGCGAGATTTTTTTAGAGACATGAGAAATTAATTGCGAGAAGATAATTAATCTTAAAATCTCTCAATCATTACTTGCTAATATTATACAACGCATAAATATATTGTTCGAAATCTAGTGTTTAAATGAAAGGAATTTTTTAACATCTTTCTCATTGGGAGCGGTTCAACTAAAAATGTTTTAACATTTTTCTTATTGGGAATTATTCAAATTTTTAGCATCTTTATTTCTTATTGCGAAATATTCAATTGGGAATTTTTTAACATCTTTCTCATTGAGAATTGTTCAATTAGAAATTTTTTAACATCTTTTTTATTGGGAATTATTCAATTGGGAATTTTTTAACATTTTTCTCATTGGGAATTGTTCAATTGGGAATTTTTTAATATCTTTCTTATTGGAAATTATTTAATTGGAAATTTTTAGCATCTTGATTTCTTATTGCGAAATATTCAATTAGAAATTTTTTAACATCTTTCTCATTGAGAATTGTTTAATTAGAAATTTTTTTAACATCTTTCTTATTGGGAATTATTCAATTGGGAATTTTTTAACATCTTTCTCTTTGGGAATTGTTCAATTAGGAATTTTTTAATATCTTTCTTATTGGAAATTTTTAGCATCTTTATTTCTTATTGCAAAATATTTAATTGGGAATTTTTTAACATCTTTCTCATTGAGATTGTTCTAATTGTTCAATTAGAAATTTTTTAACATCTCTTTCTTATCGAGAATTTTTTAACATCTTTCTCATTGGGAATTGTTCAATTGGGAATTTTTTAATATCTTTCTTATTGAGAATTATTCAATTGTAAATTTCTTAACATCTTTCTCATTGGGAATTGTTCAGTTGGGAATTTTTTAACATCTTTCTCATTAGGAATTATTAAAATGGGAATTTTTAACATCTTATTGGAAATTATTAAATTGGAAATTTTTTAACATATTTCTCATTGAGAATTGTTCAATTGGGAATTTTTTAATATTAACTTAGTGCCGCCGTACGAAGTCGTGCCTGTGTTGCATACGGTGCACAAGAGGAACGTGGACGCGAAACCGCAGATTCATCTGAAGGCCTTCGGCAAAGACATCAGCCTTTCGTTAAAGCCTACGAAAGGATTGTTGACGGCCAACAGCCTGCCAATGTGGACCGTCACCAGAAACACGTCGCAACCCGATGGCCTTCATTACGAGAGGGTAAAGGATGTAAGTGATCTCTTTCATCGGGATCGTACAATCTTTCTTCAATTTATCTTCCCTCTATACAGAGAGAATTTTATCTTAGAATTTACCTCAAAAAATTCATAATAATTGTGGGGCAATATGGTATTGGAAGAATCTTATGAGTTTTTTTTCTCTCAGGTTCATATATTTTTTGTCACAATAAAAAATATTAATATTTACCACAATAAAATAAAAAATATGTTCGATTAATTTTACTATGTACATATTAATATTTTTTATTGTGGTAAATATTTAATATAAGAGAAACTCTAAAATTCTTTCAATACCATATTATTCCACGATCACCATGATTTTCAGGATAAATTTTAAGAGAAAATTCTCACCGTGTAATATCAATGATTTATCAGTCTAGAATATCCCAAGAAATCGATTACATGTAATTATATATGATATAAAATTGGTTGCATTTTTTGGAATCCTTTTTGTTGCAAAATGTTTTCAATAATAAAAAAATGTAATATGTTGAAGAGTTATTTAATTGTTTAATAATTTCTTATTGTATTATATATTCAATTGTTATCTCCAAACCGAGTTTCTCTAATTGTTCCCTTATATCCCAGGTTGATGTGGATATCGGTGACATCTATCAAGATACGGAGAACATGGCTTCCATTCTACTGCACCGGGACGCGAATGGGAAAGTGCGCGTTGTAAGTGGCCATTCTTTCTTAATGTCCCTTTCGTCACCACCCCATTATTACGGGTCGTCTTTCGTCAATCCGACACGACTCGCTTAGGGCCTGTGCGTTATAATTATAGCAATATCGCAATTCGTTGGGTACCGCATTCATAGCTGTACTAACATTTTTACAACGAGATACGTATAAAGAGTAATTATTAAAAGCAATCGATACAATTTCACGGTGAAAAATTTATCAGATGTAGCGATTTATCGGAACGTTTTCTTACAAGTCAAGTTAAATCACGTCAAACTTAATTTGTAAATTTTTTCGATGGGAGAATTCAGATTACCTCTTAATGCTCAATTTTTACATTTTTATTAAATGAAATTAAACGCCTTTTATCTCGCACGGTAAGATCGATTTACGATCGAGCGGAAATCGTCGACTTTGAATACTATCGCGTATGCTGAATATCGCGGAGATTTATTATAAGTAATTAAAATGTTGGGGCGAGTTTATATCTCGCCGCCGCCGAATATTAATACACAGAATTTCTAGAATGCCGTCCGGTCGTATATAGTTGTCATGAGTTATGATAATTATATTTTATGGATAATAATACATAATCTAGCAATTTTGCTCTCCTCGTGAGACAGTCGTAAACTGCTCTATCATAATGATCACAGCGCGATTTAGTATAAGAAATCTCAATAAGCAGTCACATTACATCTTACTTAAATTGAAATATGGGAGAAGGACGTCGATATACAATAGATTTTTTTATTATAAATGATTAAATATAAACATTTTTTATAGCTTACTTTTTATCAAATTTTTTATTCTCTTGTTTTTTAATCTTTTTATTATTCTGTTTTCTTAAGAAACTTTAACTGACGTCTCTTAATCACAGTTATCAATCTTTTATGTACAATAGATTTTTTAAAATTATAAATGATTAAATATAAAAATATTTTTATAACTTTTACTTTTTGTCCGATTGTTTATTCTCTTTATTTTCTTTCTCTCTATTCTTTTTTCTGAAGAAACTTTAACTGACGTCTCTTAATCACAGTTATCGATCTTTTATGTACAATAGATTTTTTTTAAATTATGAATAATTAAATATAAAAATATTGTTATAACTTACTTTTTGTCCGATTGTTTATTCTCTTTTTTTTATTTTCTTTATTTTCTTTCTCTCTTTTTTCTGAAGAAACTTTAACTGACGTCTCTTAATCACAGTTATCGATCTTTTATGTACAATAGATTTTTTTAAAATTATGAATAATTAAATATAAAAATATTTTGTTATAACTTACTTTTTGTCCGATTGTTTATTCTCTTTTTTTTTATTCTCTTTATTTTCTTTCTCTCTTTTTTCTGAAGAAACTTTAACTGACGTCTCTTAATCACAGTTATCGATCTTTGATATTGAAAATTAAAAGATTACGTCGCTTCTGCATAATCACGGGTATTATCGTCACACTTATAATCTCAAAGAGTTATACACGAAGTGTGCTCAGCGAGGTGTACAAGGCGAGGTTACTTAAATACCGCGATTTTGACATTTCCCCTTTGCGCTCGCAACCGACGTTTTCTTCTTCGGGGTATAAAGTCCCGCATGAAGAAGATGCATGAAGAAGGTGTGCGCGTCCGCCAGGGATAGAAGCCGATCGAAGCCAATAAACTTCTCCCAGTGTCGAGCCTACCTTTCGCCACGGTCTGCAATTTTTCAGAGAGAGAGAAAGAAGAGAAGAGGAACACGTTTGTGTTCCTGATAATTCCACGTTCAAACGAGCGTGACTTGATTTCTCCTACGAAGTTCTTATTAATTGCCGCTCTTACGAGGAAGCAATACGTGCTCTTTGCATATATACGATATATTTTCCTCATCCTTGTATTCATCACATGCGCATCGCAGAGAGAATTTTCTCTTAGAATTTATCTCGAAAATTATGGTTTACTGCATTGAAAAATTGGTTGAATTCGAATAAATATTTATTTCAATACTATGCCTAATAAATCATTTATTTGAAACAAATAAATATTTATCTGAAAAAGATTTTCTTATATGAAAAATAAATATTTTTTACACATTAAATTAATATTATTAGTTTCGAATAAATGATTTATTATAGGTAGTATTGAAATTAATATTTAATTTAATTTTTTTCAGTGTATGTACATATATAGTAAAATTAATCGAATATATTTTATATCTTATTGTGCGGTAGATATTAATATTTTTTATTGTAGTAAATATATTAATCAAAGAAACTCTTATAAATTATAAAATTCTTCCATTATTATATATATTATATCGATTATCATGATTTTCAAGGTAAATTCTAAGAGAAAATTCTCTTTGAGCAAAGATATAGGGATCATCTCTGTTTTAATAATGATTCCTATAATCTGACTTAATCGAGCTCTTGCAAAATTCTGAAATTTTGAACGTTTCGAAAGTTACATGTATAAATTCTCGCTACACTGTATATTTCAAATATACATTGTCGTGCTAATTTAATTAGTTATTCTTAATTATCACATTAAAATCTCGACATTTTGTGCAGAAATAGGCTGGAAAATTTCGTAAGAAATCATACTACGTGAATTCTGAAACATCCGCATATCTCTTATCGAGAAAAGATCGTTATATCTCTAAATTACGCTATTACGCGCGCAAGATCATTATGTCGCGATATAAATGTGAGTAATATATCTGATATGTACGAATATGTATTACAATTACACGTTATACATTATACCTTATATAGGCATGAGTATCCGCAAAGAGGGGCGACAGGAATGTATATGTTTCTTTTTTTTTTTTTAATTTTTAAAATTTATTTTTTTAATTTAATATTTTTTGTTATTTTGTTATTTTCATTTTTTATATTAAATAAATTCCAGTGTTCATTTAAAAGGAGAGCAAATGCTTAATTTTTTACTGATTTTAAAGTGGGGCAATATAGGGGTGCATCTCTCTGAAATCAGTAAAAAAATCAAGCATTTACTCTCCTTTCGAATAAACACTGGATGTTATTTAATATTAAAAAATTATTATTAGTGAAAATAACAAAATAACAAAAATATTAAATTAAATATTAAAAAAATATAATAAAATATAATTAAATTAAATATTAAAAAAATATATTATAAAAATATTAAATTAAATATTAAAAAAATATAAAATATAATTAAATTAAATTAAAAAAATATATTATAAAAATATTAAATTAAATATTAAAAAATTATTATCAGGGAAAATAACAAAATAACAAAAATCTTAAATTAAAAATAATTAAGAAAAAAAAACACAAAAAGAATTGTAATCGTGTCCCCTCTGGAAAAAATTTTGCGGACGCTTATAGGAGTTGTGAAAGTTTGCACTACTCTTTCATTCATCACTCACCTGCATAAGGATTTGCGAGGCGACGAGGATAGGGTCGAGATCTGCGCGATTTCGTGCGTGGGAGTTTCGATGAAAATTTTAATGAAGGCGAAGCCCCGTAATGTTGTTCAAACGCGGACTCGTAATACGTAATATCGGCTCGGTTACATAATATGCGCGCCATATAAAAGCGTTGTTCTAAGTGACCTCCTCGCGGTGTGTCCTGACCTTTCGCTTTCACTCCCCCTCTTTTCTCGAGATCTGACCAATGCACCTCATTCTCTCGCGGATCGAATCGCAGGTTAGGCTCGATCGTGATATCCCGGATCGGGAATATCGTGAATAATTCGCCTGGTTGGAAAACCTCGTTTGTTCAAAACCTACTTTGGATGGATGGACACGCTCGATTTAACGCGCACCTCAACTATAACACGCGCAGCGTGATTCATGCGCTGCAATATTTCCACGTCTACTTACGTAATTCAAAGAATGCAAAGAGACACACAAATCCGAGATCGTTTTCAATATTATATAAATAATGTTACATTACTCGTTTTTGTACGCATCGACAAATATTTCGACGAGTTTAAACGCAGTTGCTTAAATTATTTCGAAATTCAACACAAGTGTCAATTATATTTAATTAATTTTATTGGAATATACAGAGGATATTTTACGTAAATTGTTTCTTTTTTCTTTTTTTTTTTTTAATTTGCCTCTTTTTTATTCGTGCAGAATTTATTTACAGAAAAATCTCTTATGCAATATACACATTATTAATAAGATTTCTTTAATTTTTTATCCAAATTAAAATAAATTTTGCAATACCAAAAATACCAAGATTGATAGGTATTCCATATTGAAGAATTAACTTTTCTTTTTGTTCAGGACGGAACCATAGGTTCAGAATTAGTCATTCGACCACTGCCAGAACGAATTCTACAGGAAGTAGTGAGCGAGGCGTCAGCCCTTCACGAACCCGAATTACTGCCTAATGTAACTAAAAGCGAAAGCTTACAACACACAAGTCATCATATTGTTTTCAAAAAGATCGATCGACCTGTCGCCGACGAGTATAATGATTTTTGTGAGTATATATGCATTATTCATTAGCAGGAATTTCCTACATCGATTCTATTTTAGTTTCATAAAAAATATATAAATTAATTTTTATATTAGATTAATTCATTAATTTTTAAAATTGGATTTAAATTAATTTTTATATTAGATTAAATTAATTTTTAAAATTTGATTTAAATTAATTTTTAATATTTTATAAATAAATTTTTATATTATTGAATTAAAATGCAAATGCAAATACTTTGTAGCATTTATGGAGCCGGATCGCTTAGCCAAGAAATACAGAAGCAAACGTTCGACCAGTAGCAGATCGAGACGCGAAGCACCGTACGTCATTTACCCGGAAATCCTCTGCATCGTGGATTACGACGGGTACAGGTAAGTCGATTAATATATCATTAAAGCTGTTAAAAGCAACGAATATATCCACAGTTAATTATGTATTAATAAATGTTTCCCTTCGTATAGATATTCTGCGAAAATTGCATTGACATTTATCTCGAATGCATCTGCGCGCATCTTAAACAGACGCAACCTTCTCTCTCGTTTCAGATTGCACGGCGGCGACAACGTACAGATAAAGAGATACTTCGTATCCTTTTGGAACGGAGTAGATCTGAGGTATAAGTTATTGAAGGGGCCAAAAATACGTATCAGTATAGCGGGAATAATTATTTCACGGGTAAGAGACGCTAGCGGGATTCATTTATTCATCTTTCCTTTTTACGTTTTCAACTTTTAAAAATGCATACACATTTTTTATTTTATTTTGAATTTCGCAATTAAATCGAGTCTCCTAAAAACAGTCTTTAAGTTGTCAAAAAATTTGCGACTTGTAAAATAAAATGCGACTTTTTTATATACTATGTATAAAATTGTAAAATAATTATAATTAATATTTATTTTATTTTATATTTTTTTCAAAGGGACGAGACGCCACACCGTACTTGGAAAGGAATCGCGTGGGAAGAGACGCGATCGACTCGGCAGCTGCTCTGACTGACATGGGCAAATACCTTTTCCGGGAGAGGAGACTCCCAGTATACGATATCGCTGTCGCCGTAACAAAGTAAGAGTGTCCAATTTATAAAACACGAATTTATAGATCCATTTATGTTAACTCAAGTCACAAAAAAATGCCCGCAGCTGAAAAACGATGCTCTCTGACAGTTCAGATTTTTTTATTCATTATTTTGTGACAATTTGATTAACTCTCTGTCGACGTAACGAGAGAAGCATAATACGGTAATTCTTAGTCTAAAGCAATTAATTTAAATATTCTCTCTCCCGTTTCTATATATAAATGATAATATTAATTTATAATTGTCACGTTTTATTCATGATGATTTCATACTCTCGATTTTTATCCCGCAAAACAGGTATGATATGTGCCGTCGTAGGAAAGGCGGCCGCTGCACTAAGGGAACTGCCGGTATGGTTTATTACATAGTGATCACACACGCTTCATTTTTTTTTTTTTTTATCTAAACTTTCATAATAAATATTTATGGTACAGCATCCTTATTAGCTTGTATATAGTTTGTCGGTATTGTTTGACGGACGCAGTAATGGTATCTAACGGGTATTAGTATATGTATAGCGTCTTATGCACTGAAAAAAACTTGTTGACTTGACCAAACCTTACAACTAAATATTATTTTGTTAATTGAATATATATTAATATTTAAATCAAATATACTTTTTGTTAGATTTAATATGTTATATTTAATTTAAATATTTTTATATGTTCAATCAAAAGGTCAAGTTAACAATTCTTTTTTTTCAGTGTGAAGAATCTCTCGAGGAAGATATTTCTTGTCATGTGCAAATTAACATCGTATTAAAATATTTTTTAATTCAGACAAGCGGTGCATCGGGTGGCGAGAAAAATTGGTCACTTTTGATAATTTTATTAACAAGAATATCTCCCTCGTGAAACTCGAACTTTGACTTTGTAATATACAGACAACGAATTTAGGGACTTGCAATCAATTTTTGATAATGATAATGCACCAGAGCTTCTTACGCACACGCTCGAACGAAGAGCGAATGAGGAACGGGTATGGTACCACTAATATTAATTTAATTAACAACACGTGATTATTTCACGAACGTCTTGTTGTTGCCGGATTATCGTATCGCGCGCGAAAATGTTTCTGTAAAATTGGAGAAAAAACCGTTGACTATATATTAAAAGATCACGCTTCTCCTGACAGATCCTTTTAACATTTGCATTGACAAGTCGTAAAAATCAACTCCGACTTTTTAAAAATGTGCATAATTTAAATTATTGATACAAATTACATAAATATAAATTGCACAATTTTACGTGTAAAATTGAGAGCTGACATTGAGAAACAAAATCAAATCTAATCAAATATAAAAGTAGGTGCAAAAAAATAAGAGGTACTAAAATATATTAATCTAATTAAAAATTATAAATAAAAATTTATTCTATTAAATATTGAATTTCGTTCAATTAAAATTTGCAACGTGTTTCTTTTACATCATTAATCATACTTGTCTAAAACCAATTAATTAATTTGCGGGTTACAAAAATCAACGAAGCAACAAAAGTAATCTGAATTCACAATTAAATCCTAATTTATATAGATTTAATACATAAAACACTTTTGGATCCCTCTTTGAATAATAAAGATGTACAGCTCATATGGAAAAATCTTATGCGATAAATCGAGAACACATTTTTTTATTCGGGATTTCTGTTCCTTTGACAGGCTCGATTGAAATGTTAAATTTCGCGATCGCACAAAATTAATTAATTGAACTCGATGCGCGATGCAAGCGATCACCGCTTAATTGTCGACGATTTTTTATTTATGCACCAAGATTGTTTGATATGTTTTTGCTTTAATTTTTTGTTTATATATATATATATATATTTCAAAACGCATATGCTTCCGCAACACATCTTGGAGACACACGTCTTCTGCCTCCGGTGAGAAGAATGTTTTTTTACACGCAAATCGGCATTTATTGATTGTTGATTATTTTTCCTCAAAATGCAGGGTAATGTTACACTTTTTGTTACGGTAATGGTTTTTCTCGAGAGAATGGTTATCATTATAATATATTTCGATTTCTTTGGATCATCCAGCGAAATATACAAACTGAATTCGTTTCGTATATCTCATCTTCCAGCTCCTGTCTTAGCGATGGACACACAATTTCGTGTATTTATGCTTATTTATTTCTTCTTTTTTTTTTTGTTATTTTGTACAGTCGAAAAAACAAAAACTGATCCAAGCAGCCGAGTTTCGTCTGTCCCGTGACCAGGTCAGATACATTTGCCGAGGATGAATTTATATGATAAAGAGTATTTTTGTTATTGCATTGCAGATTAGATATGTGCAGGAGGCAATACGCGAATGATGTGTGCAATAGAGGAACCGCAGGTACGTTTTTTTCTCGGATCAAAAAAAAAATTTTTTTTTAGTTTTCCCAACTTTTTAAATTTTGCACATGCACTGTCTTACAATTAGTCTGAATTTCTAGATATCCGATCGAGAAAAAAAGAAAAAGAGCGAAAGATTTACGAGATCAGTAAATTAAAAAAACATGTTTTAAAACAAAATCTAGATCAAAGTTTGCAACTAAATTCGTTTTATTTTGTCGAGTCAAGATTTTTATTTCGAATTTTTTGAGATTCAGAAAACAATTCTTTTTCTTCGAATAGCTTGCTTTATATATATTTTACTTATTTTTATATTTATTTATCTAAATGTACTATCTTCTGTAATGGGTGTGCCTTATGTATTCTTCTCTTCTTCATACGCGAATCATATCAGGTTGCAATTCAATGACAATTGCATCAAGCAATTGCCTCTTTCGAACTCTGCTGTTCCCTTGCACAGTCGCTTAAACTTTACTTCCATATGTGTTTATATCTATTGCATATAAGCTAGGTTTCAATGTTACATACAATGGCGGATCCGAGATCATCTGGCACGATTTTTCGAAACATAAAATTAAAAATTAAAAAAATCAATACAAAAAGGATAAATACGTAAAATTGAATCAAGTATCTTTTAATATTCAATTATAATCCGCCACTGTATCTTTTACACGAACTATTACTATATGTTTCCGCATTTATATATGTACATACATATTATTATTTCACAGTCTTGTACACTGAAAAAAATATGTTAACTTGCAAAAACCTTTTAATTAAATTATTATTTTGTTTAATTAAACATATATTAGTATTTAAGTCAAACCTTTTGTTAGATTTAATATATTACATTTAATTTAAATATTTTTATATGCTCAATTAACAATATAATATTTAGTTGAAAGATTTAATCGAAGTTAATAATGTTTTTTAGTGTATACTCTGAAAATCGTTTTCGAATTGATAAAACACACATTGTTTCGGTCGTGGCGAAAAAAGCACGCAACACACGACGTCGCCAAAGAGAAACGATCGAATTTAAAATTCAATTCTCTGTCGTTCTTTTCTCTATTTTTTTTATATCGCCTGTATACTCTGTTTGTTCTGAATAATTCACGACTCTTGTACTCTTTGGCTGCATTACTGTCACGGATCGTGGTCTTTGGTAAGTCTTTTGAAATCACAGCAACTCTATCAAATACGTCGAGAGATGTATCTTTCATACCTCTATATACCTCGATATCGAAATCTGGGAAAAATCGGTAGGATCGAGAGGGATTTCTAATCCGTTCATTCGATTCGTTACACAAACACCCCTTTAAACTACATGATGTCTCTGATAATTCCGGCTAACTCTCTCGTTAACTATTAATTGGGCGAATTAATGCCGGATGCATGCCGCATATGTATATCTTGATGACTACTCAATTTTAACACACTTACTCTCGAGTAAATTAATATGTTATCATTAATTCTCATAACTCGAACGCTCTTAATAATATATCTCTCAATAATATTTATATGGCAATAATTAATTATAATAACAGGCGCGCTTCTTCATTCTAAACATCAGCGATGATTGAGATGATCAATCAATTATACTCCCGAGTAATTACTCGATCGAGTATTTATGGTGGAGATAGATACTAATTTAACAAGACAGCTTGTTTAACGCCAACAATACTCTTATTGTTAGTAGTAACTTAGAATTAGTTCTTCGAGATTGTATTGACGGAGAAGCACACGTTAAAAGATTTCCTCTGCGTACAGGATTCGCCTACGTCGGCGGGGCGTGTGTCGTGAATAAGCGTCTGGAGAAGGTGAATTCGGTCGCCATCATCGAGGACACCGGGGGATTCAGCGGTATCATCGTCGCTGCGCACGAGGTGGGCCATCTGTAAGTACTCGAGATTATTTCCATATTTTTTCCCACCCCATCTGTTCAAGTGTGTCTATCAGAGTTCTTGTCATGGGAGTCCACAGAATTCTTTTCATAATTAAAAATTTTTTATTTCTTATTTTTTGTCCTTCTTTTTCTAAATTTTATTTTATTTTATTTTTTAATTTTCTTTTTTATATCAAATATGAAAATAAATTCCAGTGTTTATTAAAAGGAGAGCAAATGCTTAATTTTTTGGTCCCCTTTTGGCGTCCGCCAAGACTTTTTCTAGAATAATTAAATTTGTTTCTTTTTTAATCTTTTATAATTTAGGAAATTTTAAATATTAATTCTTTTTAAATTTAATTTTTTATTTTTTTTTATTTTGTTTTTTTAATATCAAATAAATTCCAGTGTTTATTCAAAAGAAGAGCAAATTCTTAATTTTTTTACTGATTCCAAGAGGGATAAATCCTCTCTCCCTATAGTTAGAAAAAATCTCTCTTATCGCAGAAAAAATTAATGACTTCGCGCGATTTTTTGTAGATTGGGCGCCGTCCACGACGGTTCACCTCCGCCGAGTTATCTAGGTGGCCCGGGTGCCGAGAAATGCCGATGGGAAGACGGATACATCATGAGCGATCTCAGGCATACCGAGAAAGGCTTCAAGTGGTCGCACTGCAGCGTGTCCTCCTTCCATCACTTTTTAAAGTAGGTAATCTCCGTGTAACATTGATTCCAAAACTCTATCTATTATTTATCAGAACAAAAATGTTATTTACCACATAAATAAATTTTTATTGCTTTTTTGTAGTAATTTTTATTTGTTTTTTTTTCAATAAATTTTAACAAATATATTAATATATATAAAAATCTCATTATTATAAAATAATTAACATATATTATATACATATAAATATATTTAATCAATGTTTGAAAATAATATCTATGCTGCACTGTTAGGCATTCCTAGATTTAATTTAAAAAATTTTTATTCTCTTAATAGTTTTCTCGATTTTCAGTGGTGATACAGCGACCTGCTTATACAATGCGCCTCACGAAGACGAGGCGTTGCCCAGAGTACTTCCGGGAAAACTTTTATCCTTAGATGCGCAATGTCGGAAAGATCGTGGAACAAGCGCTTGTTTCGTACGTTTATTATCTTTATACACGCATTTTAATTTTACACAGTGATTTTCTTAATTAATTTAAAATGTCACATATATTACATTTGATATTTTAGAAAGACGATCGAGTTTGCGCTCAGCTGTTCTGTTTCGATGCTGGATCCGGATACTGCGTGGCGTATCGTCCAGCAGCGGAAGGTTCGCCCTGCGGGGATGGTCAGGTGAAGCAAAAGAAAATTTACAATAATAATATTTTCTTGCTTCAGAGAAGTGTTTGCGCTTTTACGATATTTCTACAAAAATTCCAATAATATTGCTTGTGTAATTATATCATAATATACAACTTCCGCATGCAATGTTGTAAGACGCAATTATAACAACAGAAGTAATCTCATAAATATTGATAGCTATACGTTAAGCAATGGCACATTGCGTTATGTAATTTTGTAAGTCGAGATAATATAATTCCGTACAGCCTTTGCACAGATGTTTAATTACATTGGTATTGATTTTTCAGTACTGCCTGAATGGAAAGTGCGTGGCGGAGCACGAGAACATAATACCGGATTATACTCAGAACATTCCGACCTACGTACGCCGAGAGAACATATTCAATCCTACGCTGCACAATCGGCCGATATTCGCTCAGTATAACAACACAGATTACAGGTAATACATGATGATTCTCCTCCTTCCTCATAACAGGAATCGCGCGCATCATCGCGCACTGAAAAAAAGATTTGTCAGCTTGACTAAATAACCGTTCTACTAAATATTATTTTGTTAATTGAACATCTAAAAATATTTAAATTAAATGTAATATATTAAATAATACAAATATATGTTCAATTAACAAAATAGTAATTTAACCAAGTTGACAAGTTTTTTTTCAGTGCATAGGTAGATTTTATTAATCCCTTTAGTGCAGTGTGTGATCGACACTGAAAATTTACACATTTAAACGCGTCATATCCTCGATTCAAGGACGTATATTTATGATAAAAAGCGGCTGTTGACGTGTTATTTCAACAGAATACAATGCAACGTAGATACGCAGCTTCAGCGCTGCAGCGCATTATGTAGTAATGTCATAATGATATGCCACACAGGTATCCATGGGAATCAACGATGACATTCAGCACATCATTATCGGGCATAACCACACCGACGACAATAACGACACCGTCGGCTAATCCTTACAAACACGTCACAATACCGGTCGTAACTACGCTATCGAAATATACACAGACAACTGTTAATGATTTATACACCGATCAATATAAGACCAAATACAACAATAATAATAAACATAATAATAATAGCGATATTGATGGCGGCGTCAGCACCACCACTCAGAGAAGCGTTATGAATTTCTTCAACTCGCACTACACCGTCAGTACCACTCCGAAGGTCACTAACGGTCCAAAAATTAATCCGTTCAAGTATAAAAGCGTGATGTTGCTTTCCACGACGACCAAAGGATATCAGAACGGCCTTCGAAATGATGGCCGCGGTAAGAGAATTCTGAACTAAATCTGTATCATCACGCTATTTATTTTTTCTCTCTGTCTGCTGTCGACAGTCGAAGGCTTTGACTTTTGCATGTGATCATCAATTTGGTCGTATAACGTCTGCGCGGAATCCGGTATAATTTCTCTCTTCCTATATGTATTCCTTCTATTCCATTTTATACAGTTCTTCGATGACGAATTCTGAAATTACGAGGAACTTTTTGAGAGACATTGGTTCCGACACGTCTTTGGTCTAACAATAAGTTGTTTTGTTCGAAGATATTTTGTATAATATATATATATGTTTTATTTTTGTCCCTTCTATGTACTAATGAAATATAGAGAAGAGTTGCAGATTCCTATCTCATACAATCGATCTCATATAAATCGATAAAAATCTGATAGTTGTTGTTAATTCGCTCTATTTCGTTAACACAGGGGTTCTCAAGTATATTTTCAAAACCAAAAGATAATAATGTTAATAAAATTAACACACGTACAGGGTGTATATGTATAAAAATTGATCACACTTCTGGTTTATAACAGTTTATCTCTCTTTTGCATATACATATATCTTGTATATCTTTTTATCTTTAATATATATATACAAAGTGTTTTTATTTTTATCGGATTATCTTTAAATTTTTTAAATACATTAAAACAAAGTTTTAATTAATCCGATAAAAGAACAAAACATTTGTATAAGAAGTTTCGTTTCTTCGACAAAAATGCACATAAGCATTACAAGAATCATCTCAATCGCTTCTTCTCTCATGTCTCCTCAATCGAATTCACTAGTAGAACAGTGAAAAACATGTGTACTATCTGTATATATGATATCCTGGACACATTTACATATACATATACAGCAACCAAACAACAGTGGTTTTTCTACTACGAGAGACTAATATAATTTTGCAATTTATTACACAATACTTATAATCCTCTGTTTCAGGCTAATACACAATTACACTAATCGAACGCATTTAATTATATAAAATGACGTTGAAATCATGAATTCTATATATAATATAATCCAAATAACAAGCATAGGCCATTAGACGTCAAAATAAGTCATTTTAACGTTTAATGACACCAATTTGTTACTTGGAAATTATCATACAGTTAATATATCGTACAATATCTAAATTGTCATATAATAATTAATCGTATAATAAATCTGTCTGTTTGCTTTCAGGAATAGAGGCCGGTGAGTGCACGGACGTGGGATCAGATTGCGCGGAGATGATTGACAGGCTGAGAACATGGCTGTGCCATCTACAATCTGTGAAGAGTCGCTGCTGCGCGTCCCTGAAAGCTATCTGTGCTGACTAATATGTAATGACATGAAAAGAAAAAAGGAAAAAGAAAAATCAACGTTGGATAGTTTGCTCGATGATACAGCGCACGCTTAAAACGTTCGCCACGAGGATACTGTCAAACACATGTTATCGCTTCGCCGTTGTGACATATCCGAAAACAGGAGCACTGGCGGAAAAGAAGAAGCCCCCGAACAGATGAATTTTTCTTCTCTTTGTTATCTTCCTCCCATTTTCTTTCTCTTTCTCTTTCTATTCTTTTCCCCTTTTTTCTCTCGAAGAAACGTCAATATCTTTATATCGTACTTTGATTGCTACTCTCCAAAAGTAGCTTCAAGTATCCCATACCTCTAGATATAATTTGTTACGTTGTAATATATAGTACAGCGAAAGAGCGCTTCGCAACTCGGATGTATCGAAATGTAGCGAATCTAAAAAAAATAATAAAAGCAGAGCGGATACTGTCAATTGGTAACGATGATATATTTCGGCTACGTTTATATTTATTCGATGTAAGGAACGATCTCGCAAAAGACTCGTTACAGGCACAGGTGCGTCATGCATATGTTCGCAAGCGTAAGCGTGCGTGCGCGCGCGCAAGGATGGAGCTTAGAAATAACAGAAATTGTATAGCGCAAGACAATAAATGGGAATAATTAAAAGTTTCTTGGTGTTTTTCATATTTTATATATTTAATCTATATTGCTCTTTGGAACATTTCAGAGATAAAGAGAAAGAAAAAAATTTGATCATTTAAAATATTTCGAATATATAGGTATATCTTTATTAAGTGCAACAGATCTAAAAAAAGTGTATTAAATAATTTAATGAAATATCATATTATTTATGTCAAATCATTTATTTCAGACATAAATAAAAGAACATATAATTAGCATGAATATTATTTCCCCTTTTCTTATTATATCATAATGCAATTATTTTAATTAATTACATTATAATGATTATTGAATATAAATAAATACTAGTTTTAAAGAGAATATTTATTAACTCCGAAAATATATAGTGATAAACAAAGGTTAATTGCTCTTTATTGCGAGAAACGCGTTGCATGTAAAATTATAATATCATTTATATGTATATTACATAATTTTTTAAAATAAATGATTATATGTATATATGTGTACTCACAGAATATAAGAACAGAAAAAAACTTACAAGTGAAAAGATAAAAACATTCTGAAAGAAAACAAAAATTGACTGATTACATAAATAATCCTTATGCATACGCATATAATAAATATAAAATGAAAATATAACTATTTAATATAATACTGTAACATCATTTATATCTGGATTATTTTTTAATGAAAATTATTGAATTGTATTTCTCAAATTTTTATTAATATTCTACTTTACTTCAGTTTACTATACTAACAATAATTTGCTATCGTAATTAAATTTGATAACAAAACTTTGATTTACGACCGACCGATACAATTACTTTCATATGTAACTCCCTACCGAATTAACAAATTTGCTTATAAATATGTAGCATATATATATATATATATATATATATATCACTTTGTTTAATCAAATCGAATATATAATTAGTACATCCCACACGTCCATCACGTTGCGCGTCTCGCGCAAGACTGATTCTCGATTCTCGTTCGAGACATTACGATTGCGAGACTGATGGTCACGTGATCAGTTTCGCGCGAGTCGTGCAGCGTAGCGAACGCGTACAGATGCGCGAATCTAATGGAAGTGCAGATATATTTTGATCGAAAGATTCTTGTAGAAAATTCTATTGTTTTGTTTTCTATTAAAAATTTATATATTAAATTTTCATGATTCATATAATTAATAAATATATTTTTATGCAATAATAATTTTATACATGCGTTGCAATTTTTAAGGTTTTATTGTCAAAGAATAATATAACTTCGCTTCGTGTACTTAATTATATTCGATTAAACTATTATGTACATAATAGAAATTCGACAAATTAAAATCATGTACATAATATTGCATAGAAATTTGGCGAATTAAAATTATGGTAAAATAAATAATAGAAATAATAGAAATAATTTAATCAATGGTGCGCGCAAAGCGCGCATTTGTGTTGTCTAGTCTGTAAGTAAAAATTAAGTAGCTGCAAATCAATATGATTAATGATTAATGAGAAGGACAAATATCATAATATCATTTTTTGATTTGACATTTATTTATCAATGTAACAATCATATATGCAATATGCGAGATCTTCAATTATGAGATGCAATACATATTTATTTCACGCACATACAAGCGCACAAATATAAAAGTTAATATACAGTAGCTGTTATATAGTTAGCGCATGATGAACGATTTATTTGGCAACCGACAGACGCGTAAAAATATATTACGTAAACGTCATTAACTATAACGAGATCGGAAAAATTCGTGGCATATTGTATGTATATACGCGGGCGAGATGTCCTTCGAGAGAAATAATTATTTATGTGACCCCGAATTCTTGAACAAACGCATACATCAATCACACGTTGATCAATGCTACAAACATCACGCGCAGAATCTTTTGACGCAGTTATCGTAATTAGCTTCTTTTTTAAATTATGGGCAAATTATCAAGGTCGATGACATTCTTATAATTAATAGCTTATTAATAGAATTAATTATTTTATCGCGAATCCATTACTTAAACACTTATTGAAAATTCGATTTTATTTTACTTATTAATTCTTATTGGTCCAAATTTTTATTTTTTATTGTTCTTTTTGTAAACTTTATTATAGGAAATAATTTCTGTCAACGTACAAGATTTTTATTACAAAATATATATTGTTTTAAGTGATGGAAAAATATGAGAACGATTTGCCAACGCGATCCTTGACAGAATCTGATTTAATTCACATAATTGCGAATGTCAATGCGCCTGTACGTACGTCACCTGTCATGCAAGAGAATTTATGAATTTGCATAAAATTCTTTCTCGATTATCTTCGCGGCTCTCGCAAGTGCGTATATGTACAAGTGTTTCGCCACATAATGCGTGAGCAAATCAAACATTGGCCGGTTAATTTATATTGGGCCGCGAAATAGGTCCCTTTCGAGTATTCGAGCTACGAACTCTCTCGCAAAAGGATATTCGCCCATATCCAAGGCACCGCGCGAGAGAGATCGCAGTTTTAAATCAATTTTATTTAATTTAAAGTGTACCTATCGATATTAATTGTTACTGGAAAATTTTCTAAATCGCGTTACTCGCGATCCGTATATCGGTGAAAAAATGCTTTTTGTAATATTTCTATTGTGTCTGAGCGGGATACCGTTCATACAATGCAAGCAGGTATAATTTTAATAATATCTGATTCAACTATTTATAATATAGAGCCGCGTAAAGAGAGATAAAAAATCATATACGAAATACTAAATATATAGCGATTAAAAAGATATATTTTCAGCTTCATGAATATATGACGCCGGACGAAGTAATGTCCGTTTTTCACACCCCACCTCAGCTTGGTAAGTAAAATAAGTTTTGTTTGATAAAAATTTATTTTTTCACTTCTACAATATTTCATCCTATTCTTTCGATACACTTCTTTTAATTAACTCTTTAGTCTTTAGTCATATTAAAATTTATTTTATAATATTTTATATATGTAATATATATTGTATTTATATATTAATTATTGTGCTAAACAACAGAGTATATTATTTTTTTATTCGTACTAATTTACAATATTTATTAATTTTTAGTGCCCCAGTACGAAGTAGTATCCGTGTTACATCGTTTGAAAAAGAGATTAGGAATCGGAGATGATGAACCCGAGGTGCAGCTGAAAGCATTCAATGAAAGTGTTAGATTGTACTTGAATCCTACGGAAGGTATCCTCGCCAGTGAAAGTACACCCGTATGGACCGTCACTTCCGATCCGGATGAACCCGAGGGGTTGCTGTATAAGCAAGTACCTTCGGTACGATACTCAATTTATGTCATAAAAATATATGATACATCTTTCAATTACATATATAATCTCTATCTCCTAAGAGAAATACTAAAAAAAATTTACTGTTGATTATCTCTCACAGGCTATGAAAGCTATGGGGATACCCCTTCAAGATATATACAGCAAGAGCGCAGTTGTACTAACACCTACTGAAAATGGTCAGATACATTTGGTAAGAAATTTTGCATTTTTTTAAATATTTAATATAATTTATTACATATTAATTAATTTATTATATATTATTTATATATTATTTTTATCTATTATATATATTTATTATATATTAATTATATATATTTATATTATTTTTATCTTAATTATATTTATTATATATTAATTATTATATGTTAATTTTTTTAGTTTATTATTATATAATTTTATTTAAAATATTAAATATTATTCAAGTCAAAACTATATTTTTTATGTTTGATTCCTCATTGTAGGATGGAGTGCTGAACGATTCGTATGTCATAAAATCTCTGCCGCATCGGGTTCTAAATGAAGTCGTTTACGGAGGACATAATCTTTATGAACCGCATCATTTAAAGGATGTAACGAGCGATGACGAATTCGCTCATACGCATCATCATGTGGTGTACAAACTGCCTCCATCGAGTCAATACAATGATTTCAGTAAGTTACCTGGAGATATCTATATGAAAATTTAAATATATATTTTTATAATTTACATCTTTCTAAGTGTGTTATTCTGATGAACTATAAACGTATCCTAATATTTCAGAGATTGAAGATTCTGTGAATCACAGAGCAAAACGTGACTCTCCGCAAACTATTTATCCGGAATGCCTAATAGTAATCGATAACAAATTATACAAGTAAAGTTTAAAAAAATAGATATAATAGCATCGTAAATTAAAAAAAAAGTATAATTACATTCTTTATTTTGTAGATCACTTGGTGAAAATATCGAGAAGACTTTAAGATACCTGCTCTCATTTTGGAACGGAGTCGATTTGAGATATCGTTTGTTAAACACGCCTAAAATTCGATTCAATATCGCAGGAATAATTATAGGCTTAGTACGTTTTAATTTGTACTTTTATCACATTCTTATATCTATATAAATAATATTACATAAATTGTTTTTTCTGGATTCTTATTATGCATTAAAATGAAAAAAATTATATATATGTGTATATATATATATATTTTTAACCAAAGTATGAGATATATTATTTAACGAATATATATATTTTTTTTTCTAACAAAATGATATATATTTTAATATAATATTTTTTTCTTAGGATGACCACGCAACTCCGTATCTGGAAAAGAGTCGTTTCGAAGATAAGGCCGTAGATGCAGATCTTGCTTTACGTGCTATGGCAGATTATTTTTATCGCGAAAGCAGATTCCCAACAGATTTCTACGACATGGCGATTGCTTTAACACCGTAAGTATTTACTATTTTTTCTTTAAATTTTATATTCAAAAATAAATAATATATAATCCATAATTTCAGACTGGATATGTGCAATATGATCACCGACGACTATTGCGATACGTCAACTTTAGGTAGGTCTACTAACGATGAAGAGTGCACACATTATTATTCAAAACTCAAAAATATTAAATTCCTAAAATTATCTGTACATAACACATTAATTTTAACTATTTAGAAAAATAAAAAGATATAAATAATAATATATTTTGTGTATCCTCGCAGGATACGCGTATGTAGCTGGTGCATGCGACAGAAACGTAACGAAAAAATCGTCCGAGGCTGTAGGAATCGTCGAAGATAAGGGTGGATTTGGCGGAATCATCCCCACGGCTCACGAAATCGGCCATTTGTAAGTCGATCTTTTATAACTTAAATAATTTTGTTCGTAATAAAATGGATCATTTTTTGTGAAAGTTAATTAACACTGAAATAGAGAATTATTGACGAATCTTGAATTCAGTAGGAAAAAATTAATTTCATCCTGCATATCCCTATTGTGCTTTCATTTTAATTAATATTTCTTCTTAGTTAGCCTTTATTAATATTTCTTCGACTATACACGCACCATTGTCCGATTTTTTATTACTCGGTTTTGGGATTTAATTGTTGTTTTAATATGTATAAATTCAATATTTAAATTGCCTAATAATTTCTTGTCTTTGTTTGAAGAGACTAATTGTCATACTTGTTCAATTGTTATAAATGTGCATTGCAAAGAAAATAATATAAGCATAAATTTGTATAAATATATATATACATATTTATTGAATATGTGCGACAATTTAATTAATTTAAAAAATCGTTCGATAAATGACAAATAGGATCTTTTTCGGATTTCAGGATAGGAGCGCGTCACGATGGCAATCCTAAGGGAGCTGGAGATTGTCCACCTTTCGATGGTTTCATCATGACCAGCGGACTTATGTTACACGAGAACGGCTTCGAATGGTCTCAATGTAGCATAAATGCATTCTACGATTTTATCAAGTATGCGTACATCAATTTTTTATATTACATGCATGAAAGGATACGGATATTAATTTAAAAATTTATTAAATTATTTTATAAAAATTTATTTTAGCGAAGAGAGAGCAAGATGTCTTTACAACGAGCCTGCTTTAGGTAAAGAGGTGCCGCGTGATTTACCCGGAAAAGTTTTATCTTTAGACGAACAGTGCAAAGGGTCTTCGGAACACTGGCGTGCAATGTAAATTGAAAGCGCAAGAATGTCCTAATATGTGAATTTGAAATAAATTTATAATATTCGCATTTTTCCTTTTTTTTACAGAAAAATGCTACTGAAGTTTGCACTCGCTTGGAGTGTCAATATCCTGGACATGAAGGCTTTTGCACAGCAACGGCTCCAGCAGCGGAAGGCTCTCCATGCGGAGAAGATTTGGTAAGACTACTTTGCCTCTCGTTTTTTAAAAATATGTATAGAAAAAATATAATTGCGAGAATTATTTACATATAATATATATTCTAGAATTCTTACTTTCAATCAATTATAATTATAAAAAATTGCTATTAATTTTAAATATTTATTAAATTGTCAATTATAATATCCTTATTTATAATTGTATTCAACATTTCTTTAGTTCTGTTTGAATGGCAAATGTGTACTGGAAGGAACAATGGTCAAGGATCCGAAGAAGAAATTACTCAAGAAATTTATGCCGAAATTCAATATTCAAGTGATCAAGAAAATTCCGTGGATTTCCGATTTGATGAAAAAACTGAAGGAGAGACTAAAGGCGAGACTGAATAGGAGTTCATAAAAATAAATATACATATTAAGGTAAATGTTTAATTCAATGGTATCAGAAAAAATGTAAATATAATAGTACTTAAAAATTTATTTAAAATAATTATACTTTTAAAATTATCTTCAATAAAAAAAAGATTCTCATTTACTTTCACTTTTACATGTAATTGCAATGGTATTCAGTCTTTGATAGATGCAATTTTACACAAAGTTTTTGAACAATTTATAAAATAGTATTCTAATTTGTGTTACAGGACATTATATATGCTGATATATCATCGTACTCTACTTTGCTGCTGCTTTCACGGGGAATATATAAAAAATATAAACAAAATTTTCAAAATAATTCTTCAATTCTTAAGAATGTTATTATATTCGACTCCGATTGAAACTCTTCAATCCTTTGTACATAGTAGCCTATGCTTGTAAATACGTTGAAAGAGTTATGTATGCACGCATAATTCGTATAAAAATATCAGAATATATACCAAAGGCCCAGAAACTATTACATATTCTCTTTCAATAGTACATTTTGGAACAAATTTTTATTTTTTTTTTTTTAGTTCTCGCTACCATAAATTTAATTATACTTTGCAAATTTTTTATATTCTCTGCATTAAATATCTCGATACTCAAATTGTAAATTAAAGTTTGACCAAGCTAAAATCTCAAAGTTAAAAAGTTTTAAAAATGTGAAGATTTTAATACTTTTTAAAATCTTAAAAATTAAAGAATAATTTTTGTATTGGAATAACTCATGATTTTGTTTTTACAAATACAGAGAATATGATAGTTTTGGAATGTCCTATATATGATGCGCACACTTATAAAAAATAAAAAAAAGAATGTAAACTAAATGTAACGCACACAAAATAAAATTTGACTTATCTGCTGTACAAATTGAACATTTAAATTTTAATTGTATACATTGTTTAAATTACTTAAAGTAATTTAAATAATAGCAAACACTATAATCTCTAACATAAATAAATAATATTCACTTTTTCAAATGTTTAAACACATGAAAAAGAATAAGTACTTAACATTTGACTTGGCACTTCAAAAAATTTTTAACTTTTTAACATAAAAATACTCTTGTAATAGTTTCCATGCATTATCTATTATGTCTTATATAAGAAAATGTAATAAAATATAGAAAAATGATTAATACAAAATATTAACTGTAGAAATTAATAACTCTTGTCTTTGACTTATTAAGTTGTTGAATCTATGCCTATTTCATCATACAGTTTATCTTTGCTACCAGGATAATTATCCAAAATGCAATCTAGTATCTCAGTGACTATCTTTTTTCTTTTCAAATATGTACGTGTGTTTTCGTCCAGAGTGTCTTGTGCCTTTCGTTTAGATACTGAGTGATCGTGTAAGTCTACAGTATTGCTGCTTTCCATCAATTCATCTAGTTTACGTGTTAACTGTTTTATATCTTGCTGTAAAGTAACCTTTTCTTTTTGTGCATCTTCTAATGTCAAACTTGACTTCAGAGAAGACAAAATACCTTCCAGTTCTTTTGTCTCTTTTAAAATCTCTTTATATCTGTTCTCTTTCTCACGACATTGTGCTTCTTTCTCAATCCTTAATGACTCATCGGTGTTACATGTTGAATCTTGAACAACGCAGTAGATTTTCTGTTTGCTATAAATCTATAAAAATAAAATAAGAATTGATTAGTTTTAAAAATATTATATATCCTTTTATATGTCCATCATAGATATATTAAACTTACTTTTTCAAACAGCTTATTATCTGCCACCAGTTTATCAACAGCTTTTTGAATTACAGTTTTGCCATACTTGTTATCTACATTTGCAAGTATATCATTCAAGTTGTGAGGTTTATTTTCTGCCTTCATGTAATTATATACAGCATCCGTAGCCATTATTACATCCTTAATTATTTACTGGAATATAATATACAATTGAAATATACATTATCCAAAACATAATCATTTGAAATATTATACAATATATGATACTTAAAAATAATAAAAAGTAATGAAAAATAATAAAAGTATTTTATAACAATAAATTGTATATGCACACACTAGAAAAACTTTTGTAAAGTTAACATACCTATCATATATACAGATCTATAGCAACCTATACACAAAGAGTACTGTTTATTAGAAATGTAGGAAAAGAACTATTTAATAACTTATTAATTATTACAGTTCTATTCATCGATTAATTTCATCGACTCGTTACATTTATCTGTCTACTGCTATTCACTGACGGGATCCACGAGTCTTTTGCTCTTGAAAAAATTGTCCAAGTATCAGGATAATATATTCCGACAAGAAGTCACCTGAAACAATTCGCGGGAAACAAACTGAAGGAAGTTACCTCGTGAAGTTAGCCACGAAACTCTGAATTTCACGACGTGCAATCAACATTTCGATATCAGAAGATCATGACATTTGATCTCCTTCAATTCGTGTATTTAAATACTTGCCAATTGTTTGGATTTACGAAATATATTCTAATAATTTAAATTTATTATTTATCGCATGTGAACTATGTTACCGGCAAAATTCGAGAACGAAAGTCGAAGGAGGTTACGCGAACAGTCCATATGATCCATATGGGTAGCCGATGATGGCCGACAAAGATGGCCGCCTTGATCCCGAGATACTCTCTGCAGGCAGCGAGTAAGTGTCATTTATTTGACATTTCTTGCGACAATGTGATTTTGCATCTTTTTTGAGATTGAATCATATAAATAAATTTATGAAAAAATCGTCTATATAATTTGTCCTCATTTACATCTATGTACGTGACATGTATTGTTTTGCAATTACATAACTAACAGTTTACATTTGTTGTGTATATTTTAGGAAAGCAGACAACATGCACCACAATCGTTGCATTGCAGGCGAATCATTATTCGACAGAGCCACGAGTCATAAAACATCCCACTACCGCATCCTTAAAGAGAGGTACAGGTGGTCGTAGTTCTTTCAATGGGCTAGTGTGCACAGTGTTTGGTTCAACTGGATTCGTTGGACGCTATGTGTGCAATCGTCTTGGCAAGATTGGCACACAGGTACACATATAATAATATGTTAAGATACAGAAACAAGATCGCACTTGTATCATTGTACTAACATGCATATGAAATATAGCTCAGTTAGCTTGTCGATTCATTTGCAGCTGATACTGCCATACAGATGTGACATGTATAAATGTTTGCCTTTAAAACTTTGCGGAGATCTGGGGCAAGTCCTGTTTCATCCATTTCATCTGCGCGATGAGGATTCGATAAGAAAGTGCATCAAATATTCCAATGTTGTTATAAATCTAATTGGGCGAGATTGGGAGACTAGAAACTTCACTTACCACGAGGTGCATGTCGATGGAGCCAGAAGACTCGCTAGACTGTGCAAAGAAGCTGGTGTGGAACACTTTATTCATTTATCAGCTTTAAACGTGGACAATAATGAGGTAAATTATTTTTATACTATATGATAATATGTTAAATCTTAATATTTTAATATTTTCTCTCTGTTAGTCACTTGTGTTGAAAAATGGTTCTGAATTCCTCCATACAAAATTGGAAGGTGAGCATGCAGTGCGAGAAGAGTTTCCCGAGGCTACAATTATTCGACCATCGGATATTTGGGGTCAAGAAGACCGATTTTTACGTGTCTACTCTGGCATATGGAGACATCATATGGGGTATATAATTTGCAAATGAATTGTCCAGCATAATATTAGCTACAGTTGTTAAGATCTGATCATTTTTTCTTCTTTTACAGGAGTGTACCACTATGGGAAAAGGGTGAGCATACAGAAAAACAACCTGTAGCTGTATACGATGTCGCTGGAGGTATTACAGCTATTGCAAAAGATCCTAAAAACACTGCTGGCAAGACTTATCAGTTTGTTGGGTGAATATAATGCATTTATTACCTTATATCACATTGAATGTAATTATTTTTGCATAACATAATATATTTGTACAGGCCAAAACGTTATAAATTCTCAGAGTTACTTGACTGGTTCCATCGAATAAGAATGCGTAATCCAGCAGATTATAATTATAGGAGAATGAATTTGAAATATGCTCCGTTTTTCCAACTTAAGGTTACTTTGAACGAATTAATAACTCCTGCACATCCTATAGGATATTTACAATGGGAACGTTTAGAAAGAGTATGTTTCAATCTTATTATAATTTATTATAAATGTAAATGCTTACATAATATATACACGATTTAAATGGTACTTAATAATTTGATATCTCTTTATATAGGAAGCAATATCTGATAAAATATCAAAAGAATTGCCAACTCTAGAAGACCTTGATATTGCATTAACAACAATGGAATCACGAATGCACTGGGAGTTGAAACCATACCGTAAAGATCCTCAATATATGGAGAGTGTTGGCGAGTTCGACCCTGTTCCGAATCCACCAACCGTTTCAGTTCTTTAAACATCCCAGAAATGTGCTAGATTAAAATACAAATAGAAATATATACTCTTATTGTAAAGTAATATGTAAAGAGTGTATGTTGTAAAGGATAATTAAATAACGCGGTTAATTAAATATATATTCAATTATTTAAATATTTATGCTCCAACTGAAATTTTATCAATTATAAGTATAATATATTAGTTATCAATTTATCGAATTTTCTACGATATTCGCGCAAGTAAAAGTCAAATTAATAAAGAAATGTTTCTGGAATTTATCGGAAATTTTACACAAGGCTGTATATTAATATTTCATTCCATTTATTATATGACAGGACATGCTAACTACAATGAAAGATTACAATATAATCGTTATCTATTAAATGCTATTTTAAACATTGGTAAAAAATATAAGCTAAGTTGGTCCTCGGTTATTATGCTGACCGAAGGCCAAGCAAATCTTCCATTATGAATGGCAGCGAAACACGCTTTATATAATTTTTTTTAATTATAAGCATAGCATTATTTCATAACTCTGATTCAGTCCATGATATATATTTATAGCCTTTGGACGCCAATGTATTTTTATCTATGAAGCAGAGTACTTTTCTCACAAACTTGATTAAGAACAAAACATTCTGTGGGATATATCGTTTAAGAGAGATTTTCTATTTTTATGTTAGTACTTTATATATAATATATATATATTTTTTCCTCTTCTGCATTTCCAAGTATTTACTCGAAGTAAATACGCAACATTGGCACAGTAAACTTTTTTTTAATACAAATCGTGTATACAACTGTTCACAGTTAGTATCAAATGTAACTTGGAAATATTCGTATATCGTGATTGTTTAGAAGTTAATGTTTTGTCTAATTAATGATTTTAATGGAAGCAATTTTTTTCGCAAGCAATATTTTTAAGATAACGCCGATAAGATTGACAATGCGGTGATATTTTAACATCATATTCCATATTAATAAAGATCTTTCGCTTCGATATGATTTCGATATCATCGATTTTTTTATAGACTTATACATTTATTACAAAAGAAAACTCAGCTATTCTAAAGTAGATTAAAGTATTGAGCATTAAATACATTTGTCCATTTTCGATTCTAAAATATGTTGCTATCCTACAATTAATACACGAATTAAAAAAGTTTAACAAATATATCGATTGTAAGTTTGAAATTGTTACGGATATTTCATTTTTACACAATACTCTTTTTTAAAGTTTATTTTGCGCAAAAATATTTCAAAATAAATGTAAAATTAATATCTAATTATAATAAATTGATTATAATAAAATATAATACAATTATTACGTGTATATTAGAGGAACACATATTTTTCGTAAATCTCTGTCGACAAATCACGTATTTTCTTTTGTAGGAATCCTAATATATTGAGCTTTCTCTAAAGATCTTAAACGTCAACGCAATTAAATATATATACTTAATTGCTAGATACTTTCATTATTTTCGAATTATTTAATTAATTCCTTAATCTATTAGTGGAATCGGGATAGCAGTTGTAAAGAGGGGCATAGCTCGGATTTCCGGAAGTAAGATTTGTAATAGATCTACTTGAGATTATAATCTACTTTAAAAATATTATACCTAACTCGTTATTAATATTATACATTTTTACGTAAAAATATTTTACAAGGCAAAACTTTACATCACAGTAACTAATTTGTACACTGAAAAAATTTTATTGATTTCGAATAAAAGTATTTATTTTAATACTGCCAAATAAATTATTTATTTGAAACTAATAATATATTGATTTGATGTGAAAAATATTTATCTGATATAAGAAAATCCTTTTTCAAAACAAATAAATATTTATTTGTTTCAAATAAATAATTTATAAGGCAGTATTAAAATAAATATATATTAATTTAATAATGTTTTTTCAGTGTATATGAAAAAAATAACGCGAAATAATTGTTATTAAAAAATTGAAAGGACTTTTTTCTCTAAAAACGTCATTTTCGTTCGCCTTTATTCCGTTTCTATGCCCCGAGCAACGTGTCTGTATTAATTTATTACGGTGTAATAATTCATCCAAAAGTCGAAGTAAGCTTCAATCAAATGGATGCGATAATGCTGGTCCAGTATGTCGGCCAGTTAAAGCTCGCGCATATTTTATATCTCATTTTATAATTTAAGTTTTATCGCGAATTATCAATCGTTCGATTGATCGAAAACGGACCGCTAAACGTATACGTAGGCCTGTGTTATCGTTATACATTGAACGCCTATAATCGAATGCTCTTTTTTATTTTTAATATATTTTTAATATATTTAATAAAAAAGATGGCATTCGCGAGATACAGCCGTAAGATGAGAGAGATCGCGTTCTCAGCGATCAAAGTTGCACTATTCAATAGTGACTTGTAACAGTCAAAGTAATTCATCATCGTATTATGTATGTATGTACAGCTAAATGCAATATGTTTAACAGTGTATAGTATATAGTATAAAATTCTATTGACCCAGGTAGCAAGTTTGCTATACTTGGGGATAAATAATAATAAATTAAAGCTACAATAACACGCATACCTCGGATGGAATATATAGATAAATATAACAAAATCTTACACTTTTTAATCTTCTTAAACATTAGGCCGAAATAACGAGAGTAAAGAAATATTATTTTTTTCAACAGCGATTATAAACGATATGTACGATCACGCTTTATTCAACTTTCATATGTGCGAAAGGATATGTATCTCCGTGGCAGTTGTTTTTTTTTTTTTCGTGTAGATGAACTGTTGTTAGATATATATTGCATATTTAAATCGATATTACCGATAAAACGAGATCAGTAATATAAATAAATGATGCGAGGACAGCTTTTCTTACAATCAGTGCGTTTCTTTTTTCGTAGCTCTAAATTGATTTATGTCCCCGCAATTGCGAGACATTTTTCGATGAATAAATAATCATCATATTATGACGATCTGTGAAACTCTTATTTTCTGATTTTATTTTTTATCGAGACAAAATAATGATTCGAACTTTCTCAAAATAAAAGTTAATACATTTTTTGTTCCCTAGATTTTCTAGAATAATTTACAACTTACAACGGAATCCAATGATTAATTAAAAAAAGTAATTAAAACTGACTAAAGTAAGTAAAAAGAAAAAGAGAGCTTTTGTCTTAAAAATAAATTTTTTGAAAGATACTCGAATTAATTGTAATAAATATATTTATAAAAATAATCTATATAAATTATAAAACTTATAAAAAGTTTTTAAAATTAACTCTACATAGATTTTCACACTTGATTTTAATAAATTAATAAATTGACAATTTGACACACTCCCTGATAGGAAAATGTTTATAAAATTATATAATAAAATCCGACAATAAATAAAATTTAAAATGCTGCAATTATACGTTTGAAACATATGTAAAAGTTTAGATCTTTGAAGCAAATATATATAAATATTTGCAAAATTTATTTTTACATAGTATTTCAGCGTTATGGCAAATTATTTTGATAAAATATTTGCAAAATTAAATTTGAAAAAAAATTAACTAATAAGTGATAAGTATTTTATTGAATTTTATTATTTTAAAAATATTTTATGAAATATAAATATAATCTATATGCTTAAAAAATGCATAATTATTTTGAAATTATAATTTTTAAATATTGTAACATAAAATATTACACAATCATTGTAAATATAACACAATAATTGTACATAATTCATACTTTTCAGTAATGCAATTATTATTTGGACTATTTTCCTATCGTGGCTGTAGAATGAAATTTCAGCTATCGGCTGTAATTTCATAGATCTAATTAAAATATGCGTAATTTTATCTTTCACAGATTAACCTCACCGAGTTGCAAGGCAATTTCTTTTGCAATCTATACATCCTTTGAAAGTTGTATTAAATTGATAGAAGATCGGTATAATATCTACAAACATTCAACATAATTTGTACCTTTTATTTGGCTTCGTCAACTTTACCAGAATGAACCCAAAAACGAAAGCACGGAGTCTCGATAAAGCTAATAATAAGCGCATAAAAATCTGTGGCCATTCCCTCATCATCATCATCATTATCATCATCATCATCATTATCATCATCTTCGAGCATCATCTAAGAATGAAGAAGGACGATCATTGAAGAAGAAGAAGAAGAAGAAGAAGAACGAAGAGGACGTCGAAGCTCATCGCAGGAGGTTGATCGAGAACCAGAAGGCGATCAGCAAGGAAAACAAGGCCGATACATTCAAGGACAGCAGGTCGACGTCGCCGGAGCCCAGGTTGTCCTGGATGACGTTATCGTGGCATCGGGCGACGAGCTCGAAGTCGACGACGTTCATGGGCTTGCCGTTGTACTCGAACGGCGAGATGCAGAAATTCCGACATTGAAACTCGACGCTGTTGCGACGGGCGAAGTCGCTCTCGAGGACATTGTGCGCCTGACAGTCGCACGGGAAGTGATTGTCGACCGCGCTGATCGTCCTCACCTCGAGGACGACGTCCCTGGCTTGGCGGGGCGCCTCCAGCACGTGATTCCCGTGGAAGCGCAGCATGTCGATGTGATTCTCGTAGCGTAGATGCAGACGCTGAATCAGATCCACCTTGTTGTTGAGGATGTTGAGGTAACCCACGTGGGCGAGGCCGGCGAACGCGTCCCTCTGAACAACCCCTAGGTCGCTCTCCTGAATAAAGATCGAGTGCACGTGCGAGAGACCGTAGAAGGTGTTGGCCTGCAACCCGGACAGATCCATGTAGCTGAGCTTGAGCTGGCCGACGTACTGCAAACCGTCGAAGGCATTCTCCTCGATGATGCGGATCCCGGCCGGAAAGATGAGGTTGTTGACATTGGTGAGGCCGGCGAAAGCGTGGCTGCGGATGGTCAGAAGCGGATTGTTGCTCAACAGGATCAGATTGACGTTGGACGCGCCGGCGAATGAGTTCTCCTCGATGAACCGGATCTTGTTGTTCGCCAGCAGCAGCACCGAGACGTTCTGCAGGGCGGCGAACGAGAACCTGTCGATGTAGGGCAACGGAGTGTGCTGGATCGACAGCTCGCGCAACCGATTCAGACCGCGAAACGCGAACGCCCGGATGGACGAGATGTTGTTACCGTCCAGGGTGAGCTTACGCAGCAGCTTCAGACCCTCGAACGCGTCGGTCTTTATCACCTGGAAGTTGTTCTTCGTCAGCGACAGCTCCTCCACGGTCTGTGGCAGCTGATGCGTCGGAATGTCCTCGAGGCCGCCTGTATTGCAGAGTACCTGTTGGTATGACATATGTAAAGACATAAAGTAGATATACTCAAAATATTAATATCGACATTGTTATTTTCCAAGTAGCAAACTTGACGTCATTAAATGTCAATTTAACGTTAATGACATCAGTTTGCTACTTGAATGTATTCCCTAATAGCACAATATATCCGAAAGATATTTAAAGGATATTCAGAGAATATCCAGAAGACATTCGAACATTCTCAGGATGTTCTCTGAACGTCTTTGGGATATGTGTGCTGTTAGGGTTGCAGACCTGATATATGACATAAAAATATCAAGTATATAGATACTACAAATATTAATATTGTTAACGTTATTTTCCAAGTAGCAAACTTGATGTCATTAAATGTCAAAATGACGTCGTAAGTTTGCTCCTTGGGTGTATCGCAGATTACATGGTACATATATGACATAAAAACATAAAGTAGATACTAAAAATATTAATATTCTTATCGTTATTTCCCAAGTAGCAAACTGACGTTATTTTTATGTTTAATGACGTTATTCGGCGTCAAAATGACGTACGCTTGCTACCTGGATTGACGTTGGTAATATTATAAAGAATCATTTTCTTTATTAATGAAACGTGTGCATAAAAATATATTTATACAAATTTTTCTGGATTTTATTACCTGTTTCGGAGAGAGGCAAATGCATTCTGGTGGACAACCCCGACTTCTCGTCGTGGTAATCTCCAAATTGGAGGAAAACGTCAAATCCACTGCTGCTATGCATAGCAGGTAGTAAATGCAAATCTAAAAGATATACAGTTTAAATAATAAGCGCTCCATATATTCATTTGTACACTACAAGTACTTTTTTAACATATACATACATATACACATATATAGACAGGTTTCAGAATAAATGGCCAAACTTTAAGGGCTATCCTATAATTGGGAAAGAAAGAAAAAAGACGTTTCCGGAGTCACATCCATACTTTTTCATCTTTACAATGAGTAGAATCCCAGGTAGCAAACACGTCATTTTGACGTCTAATGATGTCATTAGACGTCAAAATGACGTTCTTTTCACGTTTAATGACGTTTGCTCTAAAAGTTTGACCTCCTTATTTTAAAAACACTTTTATATATATATATATATATTTCAACATTCGCTGGATTCGCGAAGCAATTTTTAATAGGCTGAATTTATATATATTTAAAATGATTGCGTATCATATACATAATATATATTAAAAAAAATGCTTAAAAGATCTTTAAAATTAATATACTTCAAATTTAAAATAACTCGTGTGAGACGCCATTCTTAAACCTCGAGATTCATTCAAGAAAGCGAAATGCGGCGAATATAAGCCTACCGGCTGGCAGCAACCCCTATCTATTAAATCGCGCGCGCGAAACGCATGCAAATGCACGCGCGCGAGATGTGCATAACCGCTGCATGATGCTGCGTACCTGCGCCCTGCGATACATCAATCCCGGGATTTTTACGGCGCATGCCTCGGCATATCCGGGGTGAGAATGTCACGCGAGGCGATGTGGGCGATGTGTATATATATATATATTATATATTATATATATTATATATATATATATATATATATATATATGTATCTCTCTAGGAGCGAAACGAGGCCATCAACCGCCACGTATAGCACACCACCGAAAACGCTGCCGTTTTTTCCTCCCCCGTGCGTGTGTATATATATATGTATGTGTGTGTGTGTGTGTGTGCTCCTCTTCCGCGCGCACGCACGCGTGACGCACACGTTGCGTGCGGATCTGGCCTCTGCCTCGCGCGGACGATGCACTTTGCGAGAGGACACGGCACTCGCCCCCGGAGTTTCACCCTTGTTGTCGCGAGTCGCGAGGAAAAGCGCGAGAGACTCCCCGGAGAGGAACTCGGAGTTCTCGTATCCGCGCGCGGCCGTATTCGCCGGCTGGGCTCGGGGCTTTATCACCTCTCGGAGTCAGCCTCTCGCGTTGCACCCCTTCTTTCCCTCCCCTGGTTGCATCGGCTCTTTCTCTCCCGATTTCCCTCCCCCTCCCACCGCCCGAAGACGCGAACTGCGCAAGCCCATAATTATTCTCTACGCGCGTATCGAGGAATGAGGCTTATTAACGGAACTATGTGCACGTCTTTCCCTTATACTCCGTTTCGTATTATCGTGGTATGTACAATCGTTGATGAAAAGCGGGATGATGAATTCTGCGGCGGAGTGCGCGAATTTCACCGTCGCATTTCAATCCGCGCCGGATGCGTGTTTAAAAGACAGGGTTGATGGGTATCTAATAACTAGTTATTTAGTTAAAAATTAAAAAAATATATTAATTTTTAACTTTAACTATAGTTATTTTTTATCTTAAACTTATTAACTTTTTTTCTAACAACAAGTTAATTTTTTATTTCTAAATACCATTTTATTGTTTTTTTCTAAGTTATAAATATATTATTTTTAATTGATACTTTAGAGAGTATTATTATTTAGTATTAGTATTTAGTATTAATACTGTAGTGTTATTAATTTTTATATTCATTTGTCATCAATTGTAATTATCAAAAAATATATTTCTGTATAACAATCAAAATTATTTCTTATTTATTATTATAAATTTTTAAAAAATGAACAAACAAAATTCTAATTTAATATAAATAATGTTTTTAAAAATTAACTTTTGTGATTTAACTTCAGTTAATTTAATTTTAACTTAACTTTAACGGAGTTAATTTTTTGTTCATGTAACTTTTAACTTAAAACTAAATTAATTTTATAAGCAACTAATTTTAATTTAACATAGTTTAAAAATATCATTAGCTTACCCAATTCTGTTAAAAAAGGAGCGACTGGAACTTTTACTTAATTTCGTAAAATTTTGTGTTGCTCGTCCTTATATATTTTATTTTTGATTATTTTACTTAATTTTAGACAGTATTATTGTTATTATTAGCGCATATTGATTTTTTGTCGCTTTATGGTTTGAGTATTAAAAAAGCTTATTATAATTATAATAAGAATACGTTTAGCGACTCGAATAAAAAATAAATAAACAGCTCGATGTCTTTTCGAATTGATCGATTGTAGACGTTAAGTTATGTAAATTAAATGTATAATTTATTAATCATTTTATATTATTTATATAATAGTTAAATTTGTAATATTAAAATAATAATAATCAACATTATATATTATATATTTTATATATTATATATTATTTATGTAAATAAAATTGCAGCAGATCAACTTATCTGTAGATTGTAATTAATATGCGTTCTTGATTAAACTTAATCGACAAAAAAGTTGGTACTGTTCAATATCGATTAAATGGAAAAATTTATATATATATATATATATATATATATACATGCGTCTAGCTTAAAAATAATTTAATTGCGACATTAAAACCTTTTGCTCGATAAAAATTTTATTTTCTTCTCTTACTTAATTATAATATTAGTATGAGAAAAAATACAAATGTAAGCAAAACATATAACTATTATACATTTGCGTACATCTCTGCAATAAATGCTGATGTCACACAAAGCGAATCGTTATTAAACTTGACTCTTTAACTCTTTTTTTATTATTAAAATGATAAGAAAAATATCAAGTAATCAAATTATCCTTGAGGGATATAAGGATTAGAAGGATCGTATTATAATTATATATTATTGCAGTTAGGGACTCAAACTTCCTTAATCCATCCGTTGCACGCATACATATCCATGCACATTCACACACGCAAAAGGATATCGGATATTATAAGGATACACCACCAAACTCGACATGCACACATCATGCATACCCTAATTAAGGTAAACTTAATCAGCGCAACTGATCGAGCTGATAATAGAGATAACAACGGTATATAAGATTATATATTTTATTTCATAACAAACTTGTGTGTACAATTATTGATAACATACATTTTGTGAAGATATGTAATACACACGCATATACAGGTGCGCGTATTGTTTGTCGTGCATGTGTGCGTTTTTAACGTAGTAAAAATCAGTCTTACAAAAAATACATCACTAGTTGTTAGATTTTAGATCCACGTCACTTATTTATGACTATTTACATTTGTAAGTAGAGAAATCTGGGTATAGAAAATCAGGTGATCTGTCCACGTGTTTAAAAAATAATCGATAATACAATATTACCCGAATTGTTACATATAATAATATTAACGTGATAATAAGTAAAAATTATTATTGATGACAAACAGTAGAAAAATATTAACGTCATAATTTTATATTTACGTAATTAAGGATGTATGGGAGACAAAAACACTAATTTCATTTTATAGAAAATCGCTATAGTTTTTAATTTCCCAAGTTTCAAATGTTTTCAGTTGCTCAATAATCAGAGAAAAAACCAGAATTTCAATAAATTAACATTATTTTCCTCTAAACGGTTTAGTGAATCTTAATGTAATTTTGCATACAACATTCATTAAAGTTTCAATTATACATGCAAAAAATGTGAAATACATGGTACTATTTTTTCAATATTTTTAATATAATTGATCGTAGTAATGAATTTTCATAAAATTATATGTAAAAGTAGCGGAAATTTAAATTGCAATAATTAATTAAATGAGTTTGTAAATGAAATCAAAATGTGAACAATATAAATAGTTTTATTATCAAAGTGGAAACGATCTGTATAATTTTTATTTTGTGTATCATTTTTAGATATTTCCCACACATCCATAAAAGTAAACGCGCTATATTATAAATGGGTTGACAGATGAACAGATAAAGGCACATTTGAGGGTGGGAATTTATCAATGTGCATACAAGTGCACGTACAGACTCATTCGTAAAACATCAGTTAAAAATATGCTTTTACGGAACAGATTTAACGCGAATAAAAAATGGCATATTGATTACATGCATTTATAAAAGTGTATTTCTCTCTCTCTCTCTCTCTCTTTCTCTCTCTCTCTCTCTCTCTCTCTCTCTCAATACTTTAGAATATGTAATTCGATAATATCGATAATATCTATATATCTAATTAGATATATTTCTAAAACAATGTGCATTACAGTCGATATACGAAACAATTTTTTTTTTTTTTAGACATAGTTTTTAGATATACTTTCTCTTAAATATATATGATTATTCGAATAAACTGTCCCATTGTAACCTGTACAAAAATGGATATTTTTTTGGAAAGTAGACGCCAAAAAATCGAATATATCGAGAGAAATCGAAAACAAAGGAAAACATTTTGCGACCGACATAAATTTGTTGTAAAGTATAAAAAAACGTTAAAATGGGACATTTCATATATATTTTTTATTTTTTTATTTCGCATTTATTCGACGCACAAATATAATATCTATGTAATTAGTGCATATATTTATATACCACACCAATAAAAAGAGATAGATTAGATTAAAACTATATATATCAATGTGTAACTTATTTTTCCTATTGTTATATCTTTATTGTATAGCACTTTGCACTTTGTAATTAATGAGAAAAAGACACATCTCATATATGTCGATATAAATGTCGACAATGACTTACAACGTAATAGCCGTATTTAAATGAACATCTTAAACATCTTAAAGGATAGCTCTAAAGTTGACTTATAAAATAACATAGTTATCTTGACAGATTGGCAGCTTTCTTCTGAGATACATTATGTATTTGCTTTTTATGATAAACTCGATCACATAGCGGACAGGTACACATTATGATACTTTTTCGCGTTTCCACAAATATCTTTTACGCTCTATAAACATTCTTATTGCAATATATGTATAATAAATATGGAATGACTTGTGTGTATTGAGGTAGAAACAATGGAGGCAGCTTTGGTTTGCTTTTTCAGAAAGACAAGATATCGACGGTAACTCGTATCTGCTTCTTTTATTTTTCATGTCATAAATAAATGCATATTTCGGAATAAAAATATAATTAAAATTGCGCGATCTGAAAATTGAGAGAGTTACAAAATTATCGTATTTTATTTCAAACATTTTTAAATAACAGTACGGAGAAAAAAATTTATGAGTACCTATAGCTTACATTTTTTCAAGACTGATATATGTAAAAAAAGAACACAATTTGATGCATTTCTTATATGATACTATTAAAAACAAAAAAAATCGCTTTTTTCAGCTTTGTTTCAGAAGTTTGCGTCAATATTTTGTCTTGATACTGAGTATTTTAATATAAACCGGGGTGATTCTCATTTGTCCAGAGAATCGAAATATAAAAATATTTCTAGCGTTGAGTAGAATCTATTTTTGTACGTCACAAAGTGTGAAACCTCATAGATGCAAATATATAACTCATTTTACTGACAATAATCATTATAGTTAAATGCAAAAAATTAACGTGTTTAACAACTGTAGCGATGAACACACAGAGACGCGAATAAAGTGATAAGTTTAATAGTACCATATTAAACTTGTCAATTTATTTATTCGCCGAGTTATTATTATTTTCGATGGGCAAATAATAGATACAGCCAAAAAGACAGAGAACATTCATAAATGCATTACGGTGAATCAATTAATGTTACATCAAGATACAAGATTTTTCCTCGCACATTAATAATGCGGAGGAATAAGGCAACTATAATATAATGCACATATATGTAAATCTCGTTTGGGAATTATAAAATAGCTAATTAAATATTTGTTTATATAATATAATATAGCCTCTCTGTTACTTATATAATATATATAATATATTTTCATATGTGTATATATATATATATATATATATATATATATATATATATATCTTTTTTTTATATGTATACCCAGACAGCACCAAGCCCAAAATTGGCGCATAAGATATCATTAAGAAATCTTTAAGACAGTTTTAAGAAATCTTATGATATGATATCCGAAAGACATCTTAAATATATTTTAAAGATATCTTATGCGCCGATTTTGGATTTGGTGCTGTCTGGGTATATATATATATTCTTTTTTTCATATGTATATATATATATATATCATATATATATATATATATATATATATATATACTTGTATATTTTCGGTGTGACACTTTACGTCAGACACCCTCTATATATATATAAAAAAAAATATCGATTTCCAAATAACAAAATTTACTTGTACATTTTCGGGGTGACACCTTATGTCAGACATCCTGTATAATAGATATCTATATGTTTATATACCTCTTACTTTAACATTTCTCTGGATTTTCAATTTATATTTCAATCTTTCTCATTTTCAGTCTTACGTTAATGAACTTGCAGTTCGTTGTACAATATAATGAGGTAGTTTATTCACATCATTGTTGTTGATATGCATTGATCAATATTGCAATTGCATCCCAAACCATGGTTCAGTTAACAAAATGAAACACAACGTTTACACGATCAATTACATATACTAACGTACTAACAAATTTAACAGTGATTGTTAACAAAAAATTATACGATGTTTTACGAACGAAATTACGAACTACACACACTTTATAAGTGTTATGTACAAAGCATTAATGCTATTTCCTCATTTTTTTTGTTACGTGAACGCGAGAACGCTGAAAATGATGAAAAATATATTTTATAATAAACAATTTATCGTAAAAAATGTTAGCATGAAAAGACTATCGGAACAATGAACTCTTACAGTATGTTAACTTTCGCTTGCACACTTGTTCCAAAACAAGTGTGCAAGGGAAGATAGCTAATATATGTATATGCTTAAAAATCGCAAATCAATAAAATGAATCACAATAGTAGATAATAAATGCAAGACGTATTCACAAACGTAAATCTAAAAAATGTTGAAAAAGCTTAATGCAAATTACGGGAAATAAAACGACTACCTACGTATAAGATAACGTTATCATATTTATCGCGATTATAATAAAAGAAAATAAATACAAACACGTTCTAAAACTTTATAAAATTTCGAGAATCAAAAAATATTGTGTATTAAGTGCGGAAAGTTGACAATTGGTCACGAGTGAACAATTGTCAATCCGCACTTGATACACATACTATTTTGTATTGCAAGTACAGGCAAAGTGGCTGTTTCGAACATGCACCGAAAGTGCCACATTGCCTGCACGTGTAATACAAAATAATTTAAAAAACGCGTAGTATATATTATTTGGAAATTCTTCTCGCCTCGCGATAAATTAATTTGCGGCTCGTCTACCGTAATAGCATTAGGCTTTTAACAAATTTACGACGCGAATACGTAGTAATACATACCTCAGTCTCTTAAATCTATTCAACGCATATTCAGTCTTGTACAAGGCAGAAAGTTAGGCAGTACGTTATTGACACGCGCCGGAGGCAAATCCGACTAATTTACTCCTGCGTCTATGTATTTGTTGCGAAAGAAAAACTAAAAATATATTCTATCTTAAACAAAAGAGTCTATTTTTAATTTTCTTCGGACGGCGTTGTAGATATCGCAATTTTTTTAAACCTTCCTTTGAATTTTAATAAAAAATCTGTATAAAAATATGCAATACGAATAAGGTCGAACATTGATGCCTTATATCTACACCTATAAGGATGATCCTACTTGTGGCTCATTTAGATTGCACAATTATAATGTCGTTATATATTGGTATCATTGACTTTAGATAAAATGGTTAATAACCAATCGATTTCTTTATTTTTATTTGTGCCATAGCACAAAGGTAGAGTTGTATTTCTCGATCGGAGCGTCTCTCCCGCAATGGAAGAGCCAGGGCGGAAGCTCTTTAAAGAAACCGTCGGACGGATACAGGTAGTCGAAATATCATCGATCTCTCCTGTGTTTTATACAATATGTCCTCTAGCTCGGCACTCGCGATCGCACACCTTGTTCTCGGCATGCTGACCGCTGCCCCGCGACAACGGGGAGGGCGCGCGTCGCCGAACGTCGTGAATACTGCACACACGCGTGTGCGGACATAAGTTACCACCGGTTTGCGCTCAACGCCGACTCGACGCTCTGTGGCCGGAGAATGGCACACGAACGTGATCGCGAAGCGTCTCGCTCCGAATCGTCGTCGGACACCGCCGGGCACGCTGTTGCTGGCTTTCTTACTCGCCGGCTTTGCGCGGCGGGTTTCGGTCAGATCATCTATATATATATATAAAGAAATCGATTGATTATTAACTATTTTATCTAAAGTCAAATCATTGAGAGGATTGGTATCAACCAATAGCTCATTAGTATATATATTAATGAGCTATGCACATTTGTTTAGATCCTTTACCTATATCCTCCAGCTTTATCTCATCCAGTCAACGATTTCATAGACATAATCTTCAATTTGTAAATTGTGCTTTAGCAGTGTGTGTGAGTAGAGCTCGTGTGCCATTCTCCGGCCATAGAGCGTCGCTTCGGCGTTGAGCGGCCGCTTTCGGCACAGAAAACATGCACTGAAAGTGCCACATTGCCTGCACGTGTAATACAAAATAATTTAAAAAACGCGTAGTATATATTATTTGGAAATTCTTCTCGCCTCGCGATAAATTAATTTGCGGCTCGTCTACCGTAACAGAAAACATGAATTTATTCAGATATATCAAAAAATGTTTTCATCGATACGAGTAAAAATCAACTGCACGGCATGGTTTTCGATCGTCTATACCACCCACTCATGCCAACCGAGTTTTTTATGAGCTTTGAGCGGTAAATAGGCGAGCACGTTATCTACCTTAAATTTAAAAGTTCAATCGTAGCTATTTCGTTAGCCGCGCAACGAACATACGTATACTGGACTCACAGTCCACAAAAATCATGCGTTCGAGCCTCGGCACGGGCCTTTTTTTTTTTTAATTACTTTTTATTCTAAACGTCAATTATTTTACTTATTAATAATAATATATTATACCTAAAAAACGGTTGAGCTTTAGGTTTAAACGGTCGTCGCTATCATTTGTTTCAAGATAGAATCTGACCTTATATTTTATTTATTGTCACTTTTTAAAAACAAAAAGTTAATAGTCGAGATCACAATATAAAATGTTTGAAATTTTATTTGTTAAAATGTTGAAAATATTTTATTTATTAAAACATGAATTATTTCTCCAAATAGTTTCCTAAATTTTTAATATATTTTTAAACGAATTTAATTATTTATTTTATTTTAGGTAATAAACAATGTTAATAATTAATTTTTAATAAGTAAAATAATTGACGTTTTAGAATAAAAAGTAATTAAAAAAAAAAAAAAAAAGGACAGTGCCGAGGCTCGCATGATCTTTGGACTGTGAGTCCAGTGCGTTCGTTGCGCGGCTAACAAAATGCTACGATTGAACCTTTAAATTTAAGGTAGATAACGTGCTCGCCATGCTCACATTCTCGAAAACGGCTGCGTATCTACGGCTAATATTGGAGGCGTAATCTTATATTTTCCTAATCTACCACCACACCAAAGCTCATTAAAAAACTCGGTTGGCAGTTGGGGTATTCTCCTCGTCAGACAAGCCACAAGTAGGATTATCTTGGATGCAGGTTCAGCATAAGAAAAAAAAATCAATTATAACTGCAGTCTTTATTGTCTGTGGTTTCTTTCGGTTCGTCCTTTATGTCCGATGACGTCAAATGCTGGACTATGACCGGAATATCGGATTTCCGACTCACCGATAAATCTTCCACCTCATCGTCAGAATGCTGCTGCTTCAGTTTGGAACAATGCATGACCGGACTCAGACTGCAACTCGCCATCGTTTCGATCATCGAATCGCGATCCTGCGACACCTCCTTCGCCAATTTAGCGTGAAGAGTGTCGAACACGCTGGCGTTCGACGTGCTGCTGCTCGTGGTCTCGATCACATTGTTGCTGGTATCGATCTCGTTCTCGGAAGAGATCAAGTTGCTGTTGCTGTTGTAAATACTACCGTTCACGTTGCCGCCGATTCCGTACGGGAAGCAGGCCGCGCTTCCGTTGCTGATCGACGAACGCTTAGAGGGCCGCGACGTCGGGATGCCGAGTTTCTTCACCTTGTCGTAGAGGGTGCGAGATGGGACGCTGAACCTCCGGGCCGCTTGCACAGCGCTCATCCCTTTCCTCACCGCATCGATCGCTGACGCGATGTCGTCTCGGGTGTATTGTTTGTATCGTTTCCACTCGGGCTTCGCCTGTACGCAACCCGCGTTTCCAGTTGGGCTTCGCCTGCACCCGATACCTAGAATCAAGAAAAGATCAGTGTTTGTTGTTATCTAAATACAATTTGTAGATGATCATTTACATGAAATTTTGACGTCTTCTTATCTTTATATAGATAATTAAAATATATATTATCTACAGTATTTGCTGTTATCTAAATAAAATTATATAGATATGATCATCTAGATGAAATTTTGACGTCATCTTTATATAGATAAGAAAAATATATGTTATGTATATCTGCATCTTCAGATCAAGAAAAGTGTTATCTTTATTAAATTATCTAGAATAATGTTCAGATAATTTGCTTTAGAGTCATAGCGTATAAAAATACTAGTAGTAGAAGTTGAGCAGTAAGCGATACAAATTTACAAATAAAAATATGAATATATGTATTTTTATATCCCTCTTATAATTTACATTTTTTTAATAACTGTGTTTACATAAGCGATTTAAAAAATATTATTATCTAGATATATTTAAAACAAAATCTAAGCTAAATTTACATATTTTCATCTCATCTTTATCTAGATGATTTTAAAATCATCTAAGCACAACACTGGAAAAGATTAATGTGCTAATGTCTACATTTGGTGATATCAAGGTGAACAGAAATTAATATACAGTAAGAGTCACATGCGAGATTTCTTTCATTTTCTTTTTTAATTTTTCTGCATTTCTATATTTTCTGTTTTAATATTTTAACAGGTATAATAATTTTCGTTTATTGACTTTTTTTATTTTATTACTGAAAAAGAATCAAAACTATGGTCGAAACGTTGTGAGATTTATTAAATAAATAATTGCCAGTATTGATCAAAAAATATTGATTCCTTTAATTTTTTGACTGGCGATAATAAAAAATTCTAATCAATAATTTCTATTTTTGTTTAAACAGTTACTGAAAACCCCATACAGCATGCATATCCAAAAGATTTTTAGGCGATAAGATATCTTCGGGATATCTTCTGAACATTTTTCCGATGTGCTGTATAGGATGGCTCCCGAAATTAAATAATAAAAGATAACGTAAAATTATTTAAAAGACTTTTTATTTGTGTCTTTATCTCCTTGTTATTATCTATATTGATATAATATCAGAATGTATATGTTATACTCGAAAATCTTTTCTAAAAAAGTTTGAGAAGAAGAAATCGTCATTTCATCAAAAGTCATCGAAATTTCTCGGATGCATGCGTCAGTTTGACGATATAAAATTACAAAATTAAAAAAATGATCCATTTATTACCTGACTTGCTATCCCCGGCGTGCGACTGCGGCGACAACGGCTTGATGTCCTCGTCCACGGAAGGAGTGTCCACGTAGGAGCTGTGGGCTGACTCTTCGTGAATGTGCTCGAGGTTCCCGTGACGATGATCGTTGTCATGGGTGGAGCCATTACTGCTGCTCGCGCGAAAATGCGTGGATTCGTGGCTGTCGGGATGCAGCAACGGCTGCAGGTCTTGAACCGAGCTGTCGACGTGACCCTGGCCAAGGACGGTGCGCAGTATCGGGGTGTCGCGGTTCGTGAGGTTCGACTGCAGCGAGTTCTTGATGCGCCTGGGGCACGGGTTGTCGAGTTTCGACATCGAATGGTCAATCAACGGGTTGTCGTAGGAGATGCCGTTGCCACGCAGGTCCGAGCATGAGGAATGCTGTAATCGTGCCGGGAAGAAATCGCGCTTGAAGTGCTGCGGGCTGCTCAAGGTCCAGGTGGAGAGTTGCTCAACCAACCGAGTCCGGAGTTGGGTGGCCGACAAGGACTTGCTGTGGTAGTCGTAAACACCCCCAGTGGAGTGTGGCGGCGATGTGTGCTCGCTGCTGTGCGCCGTCGCGTTGGAAATAATGGTGCTGGTGCTGATAGACGGGGGTGGCGACACGGACGTTTCCATTACGTCGTCCTGTCCGCGACATCGGAAATCGAGCGCCGAGGATTGTTCCTCGGTGTGCTCTATCAGACCCTTCACCTGCAGCGACTCTGCGACCTTCAGCAGACTGGTCAGCTCGGCCTGGCTCACCTTCACCTCGCCGCGATATATGTACTCCAGGATCGCCTTCATGTCCGCGTACTTGACGTCCTTCAGCACGATCACCGGGTGCAGATTGGGCAGATTGAGAAGTATATTCTGGAAGTAGGTCGAGCACGCGGCTAGGACGATCCTGTGGCACTTGATGATTTGACCGTCCTCGAGGGCGAGGGTGACGTCGGTGAATGACTCGTTTTGCAGCAGGTTATCGAAGACGGTCAGTAAATTCGAGCGATGATTGTTCCAGCGGAGGCAGTAAGCCTGATTCGAATCATCCATGGTAGTAGACACAACTGCTCTCTGCTCTTTCTCTCTCACGCAGTACCTGAGAGACGCAAAAAAATCGCAGTGATGAGATGTTTGCGGCGCAAACTCTGTTCTACGACTGCCGTTTCTTATCTAACCGACTGACTGATTTTAGGGCTGTCATGAGTCATAAGAAAATATTCGAAAGTCGTTCGGAAAAGTCTAGAGAGGGGGATCTTTGCTGATTAGCAAGTTTTGTTTGATAAGGGCCTGGTAGGGCCAAGGTTCAAAGATCTGACTAATGTTTCCTCAAGCGTTATCTTGCCATTTTCCATGCTCTCTCCCGAATAAACTTTCTCTCGACAGTTAGAAACTACATTAACGCGAATGCCATTCATAATCGATGATTATCACATTTTTCGAATAATAGCCAATTAAAAAATGGTATAATTTTGACTTTTAGAAATGCGTTTTAGGAATGCGAGATTTAATGTGTTATAGAAATTGTTAAAAAATTAGTTATGCTAAAAAAATTTTCACCAAGCCTAATATTTATGACAAAAAATTTGTGACTTGTCTATTTCCTTTTCCCACTTAAATAATTTCTAATTTTTATTAGTAAGTTTATTTGTAAGTTGAAAACAAATTTCTTTTTCTCTGAAATATAATTTGATTAAAAAAACTTTACAAAATAAGAATTATATACAATACAGTTATATTTTTTAGACGTCTAATATTTGTATCGTATCTTTGAAATTTCAAATAAAAATATTTATAATAAAATATTATAAATTATTATAGATTCTAAAAATTAATTAATAATATATTGTGTGCATAAATATATGATATAATAATGTTTCGGTTTATATAATCCAAAAATGTAATACAATTACATATATAAACTTTTATGTTTTATATAAAAATAAAAATGATCCGTATCTTTTCAAATAAATGTAAAACAAATTAATAATTATATTCAAAGCGATAATATATAAATCACAGCTAACTATATATTCTTAGGTACTCGATAAATACTTCGTTTTTTCCTCGCTTGCCACTCCTTGCTAATTTGCTTTGATTAATTATTCGAATACTTTAGCGGCTCGAGGCCACTTTCCAAACTCGCATATTAACGTGGAGAAAATTACGTGTCGCGTTTTAAGGTAATTAACAGGGGCAAATGCTCGCGTATATAATACGAGAAAAACTGAAATAAAAACACAATAAAGGTACTACGTAAGATCGCAAAATATTTACATTAAATTACCTAACGTCAAATGTAAGTCAACCACGGTAATATAATGTTTCTATAAATTTATTTTACTGTCAATTTATAATATTTTATTTCGTAAATTTTTTTGTCTAAATTGCAACGGGCGTATTGTAAGCTAGAATGTGCGATCGTCTAACGGTATCTCATCGAGATGCAAGAGAGACTTCTTGAACCTTTTCTAGGCTAATGGTACAGGATGTTCCCTAATGTATGATCGTAAATTCGTAGCACGTATATACACAAGAAAGAAGATTCACGTGAACCTTTGTCTTACTTGAAAATGAAATTGTAATATTTCTTCTAAGTTGTTTTTGTCACGGAAGAGAATTACGAACTGGACTATAATACCATAACTGAAAGAGATTTACGTATTTTATTCTCATTTACAAACAATATATACTTATTTTTACGAGTATTTCATTTTAATATCAACTGTTTGTTAAGATTTTCGTAACGTTTTATACGAAATACTTATATGAAATACGAAAAGAAATTATACAAATGACAGATTAATATTATAATGTATTTGATGGATCATATTGCAACATTTCGGTTGTAAACATTTATTATTAAGTATTATTTTATTTATTTTATCTAATAAATTAGATCAGTGTATTGGAAAACATCCGGTCTATGTGTTTTGAGAATATATGACATTTAGAAAAAAACTCTTATCACTCATATCTCTATATATTATAGATATATTTTTATCTTTAATTAGTATAAACAAAGAGAATTTTCTCTTAGAATTTACCCTGAAAATCATGGTAAAAAATATTAATATCTACCACTTTTACTGTGTACATTTATATTAATAATTTATCGTGATAAATATTAATCACAAAAATTTATAAAATTCTTCCAATTGTCTCACACTATTCACAGTAAATTCTAAGAGAAAATTCTTTCTGTGTATTAGATTTATGTGCCTTATATTTATCAATATTTTTACTTCGTGCGTGCATATGTAATATTTTCTCCAGATTCAATTTCTTATCGCAAATTCTTCGCTTTTCCATTTTCATTTTCATTTTCTTTTATTGCCCGTCATTAAAAGATTAAGTTGACAAGATAATAAAAATGAAACGATTGATTTGTCACGGTTGGAATACGAGGGGACCCCAGTTTGATATTTGCATTTCTCGAGGGATGAATCATCGCGCGCTGTCACCGAAACTTTTCATCCCGATTGAATTCCGATTGGAAAATTAAAATTATATAAATACATATGAGAAATTGTATGAATTGTATTCAATTATTTATATATGATTACATATTTAAAATTTTTTACCGGGAAGCTTGCGAGGAACGTCGCGAAGTCATCGATTAATTATTGTCTTTCTCTTTTGAATCTCGTAAAAATAAGTGAATACGTGAAAAAGTGACTTTAATGAATTTTATTGCTTCGATTAGAGATCACCCTTACAGAGTGTACAATCTCGATCTCTTCGCCAAACAACGATAGAGATATAGATAAATGTAGGCGAAAGTAGATGACGAAAATGATAAGATCGTAGTTCGAAAGTTGGGTAAAATTCGAGATATTTGCATTTTAAAGAAAAAATAAATATTTCGTCTAGACCCTATTTAGACCTACAACAGATAAATATGCTTTTCACGAAACAGATAAATATGTCAGTCAAATGGATGAATGTCAATATATCTCAGTATCTATCTTACCTTATATTAGTCTAGTTGCAATTATCGGATGACTTCTTCGAAATTCGACCTTCCCCGATATCTTTCTCTTCCGCTTTCTGAACATTTATAAAAAAAATTTTATATATTTCATACAATTTTATAAAGCAGTTATATATATTTTAGAGAAAAGAAGCTCATTTAAATATTTATATTCATATATAAATTTTAGAGAAAAGAAACTCATTTAAAAGGGTTTTAAAAAGGTTTTTATTCTTTGACGAAACAGGAATGAAATTAAATTCACTTATTTTTGCGAGATTCAAAAGAGAAAGACAATAATTAATCAATGACTTCGCGACGTTCCTCGCAAGCTTCCCGGTAAAAAATTTTAAATATGTAATCATATATAAATAATTATATATAATCACACATAACTATATATGAAATATGTCCATACATAATTAGTTATAATTATATATAATTAGATATAATTATATCCCATATGCATATTACTGTAACATTTTAATTATGCATTTTTTAATTTATTTGAATATTTATTAAGAGGAGGATTCTGGTCAAAATCGATCAAAAAAGAATTTTTTTTTGTTGCTTTATTTTCATTCTTTGGGTCTTGAAAATGTGTAGGCAAAAGGATATTTTCACATCTAATTTATTTATTTATTTATTTTTCTTCGTCAAACTTTAAACGCGTTTTTCTCGAAACATCTTTTTTTTGCGCGCGCAGTACGATTCCGTTTCACCGATTTTGATGTTTGACGGCTCAAATTAAAGCTTATTCAATTTAGGGGGCCTTCAAAAAGCGTTTTTTTCAAAAAAAAATTTTTAATATTTTTTTTAACGTTAAAGCCAAAAAAAAATAGGAAAAACAGGTTTTTTTTTCAAATGGCCGCCATTTTTTTTAAAAGGGTTTTTTAAAAATCGGAAATTTATAAGGCCCCCCGAATTTCATCTAGTTTAAGAATATTTTTCATTTTTTTGTTTCAAATCACTTGGCAGGGCTGTAGAGTGCTTGGCGCACATACACTATCGCCGCGGCTTTCTTCAGTGAGGGCTGGAGCCACCATTTTTAATTATTTTTGCTCGACAAAATTTTGTATGATTCGTCAAATATGTACTAATAAATGCCACAAACAGTTTTTTCAAAAAAGATTTACGTTCGCTCAAAAAAAATTCCTGAAATTATATATATAATTTTCGGGCCTTTGGACCAGAACCTCCCCTTAATGTTTGAACTTGTATCAGTTTGAATTCTCATATTAAATTAGGTATAATTAAATCTTTAATATATTTTATTAGTCACTTTTTGCAAACTATATATAGTATTCAAGACAAAATTTTGCGTCACATAGATATTGATATGATAGATGATTCAAATGCATATTACTGTAACATTTTAATTATGCATTTTTTAATTTATTTGAATATTTATTAATCTTTGAACTTGTATAAGTTTGAATTCTCATATTAAATTACACATAATTAAATCTTTAATATATTTTATTAGTCACTTTTTTGAAATTGTATACAAAATAATAAAATTATATATAATTATATAATAGCTTATGCATAATTTTATATAAGAATATCAAGTCGGCTCCTTAATTTTTAAGGACACAATATACACTTCATTCATCTCAGCCAATAGAGCCACACACGATGTCATTGCGACAATTTATAAAGAAAATTTGGGAGCTAAGGAATTTGTATCCCATGGTTGGAATCTTAGAAATTTCCCTTGTTCATCTCCCCTTTAAAGAAATAGATGAAAAAATGCTTGGGTTCCTTGCCCAATTCAGGTAACTTTCAGACCAGAATATTTTTCTCGTCTATTTCTTTACAGAAAAATTTATCTAAAATCTCAACCATAGGATTCAAATTCCTTAGTTTTCAAATTTTCTTTATTAATTGTCGCAATAACATCGCGTGTGGCTCTATTGACTGAGATGAATAAAGTGTATATTGTGTTTTTAATAATTTTATATATTTTTATATAATTTTTTATATTATTACATATAATTATATATATATATAATATTTTACCGGGTTGTCAACTCGCGTTTCGAACTTTCTTAATAAAATATTGATCATGTATTTTCTGACAACTTATATGATTCATGAATAAAATGCATACACGTATATTTAGGATCTTTTCTCGCTCTCTCTCTCTCTTTCCGGATATCATCTGGGGGCTGTATATAGACGCAAGAAGCATATCTCTTGGTACGATGTAAAACACATTACACACATATGCACGCACATCTAGAACAGAACAAAAGCGCGAAACGTCATATGTGCATATATATATGTGCATATATATATGTATGTACTATCGTGTGCGCGCACTCTTGTATTCACTTTCCTTCCTTCCCTCCTCCTGGCCTCCTAGGGGTGCAGGGGGTGGCAGGAACGACGAGAACGCGCATCGAGTAAACTCTACCTCGTTCGGAGGGTGAGAAACCCGACGCGTCGAGCGTCTGCTTCTCCTTCGTGCCTCGATCTCTTCCGGCCTCTACAGTCGCTGAGCGACCACTGACGCTTCGCCAACCCGAGCTCGACTCACCCAACTGCACGACCCGGTTGCGCGTTGTATACTCATCCTTCTCGTATCTGCCTCGGCTGGGTACCCGCCATCCACACTGAGTCGATCCGCAACAGGGGTGGTGGAAGAGTGAGTTTTTTCGGTGAGTAGAAAGCAATGGCGCCGCAGACCAGGGCCAACAGCCCTTCGAAGTTCAATGTGGAATATATATGGAGAAGAGAGAAATAACACGCCTAAATCGGAGGAAGATCAAGGAATGGAGACGAGAAAATCGAGATAGAGAAGAATATGCGGTTTTTTTTTTTGAAAATTTAAATTGTTGCGCAAAAATTTTGGCAAAATGGCGGAGATATATCTCGGAGTCATTGCGAAAGTGCAAATGGTGTTTGACGGTTTTCGAGAAAGATCGACAAGATTATTTGGACTTTTCTCGTATTATTATTATATTTAATGATAAATTATATGAAAAAATATTGCATTCGTGACATATACATTTGAAGAATCGAAACTCTGCCGAAAATTAAATATGAATTCTTTTATATAGTAAAATGCAATGCAAACCTTTTTGGTTCAAAGAAATGATATTTTTTTTATTTGTTTTTTTATTTTTTTTTATTATTTTTGTATCTGTTTTTTAAAAATGTTTCAATAATTTGCGATAAAGTCCCGTTTCAATCCGAAACTTCGAAAATATACTTTCGATACATGAAAGCTCTCTTTTATAGAAAGAAATAAAAACTATAGCTATGCAATTTTGCTTACAACACGAGATGTTAAACAAAGTGCTATTTGTTCTATTATTACGAATAAATAATAAAGCGAAATAGTTTACATGTAACATCGTAACTGATACTTTTATTATAATCAAACTAATTAAAATAGCGCAACGAAATATATTGTATATATAATAAGAATATTTTTAAGTCGGCTCCTTAATTTTTAAAAACACAATCTACACTTCATTCCTCTCGACTAATAGAGCCAAACGCGATGTTATTGCGACAATTAAGAAAGAAAGAAAATTTGGAAACTAAGGAATTTGAATCCTATGGTTGGAATCTCAGAATTTCCCTCTGTTCCTTCTCTTAACATCCCCTTTAAAGATATAGGCGAGAAAAATATTGGTCCTTTCTTAATTGTCGCAATAACATCACGTTTGGCTCTATTGGTCGAGAGGAATGAAGTGTAGATATTGTATATATGTTATGCAATTTTACATCTAACAGTTCTATATTTTATATTTTTTTATATTTAAAAAAGGCTTATTAAATAATATATATTATTATATATAACTGTATATATATGTATACATATAATATTCACTGCGGTATTTTAATTATATATATTATATATGTATACGTATCGCAAATAAGATATAAGGGAATATAAAGAAATAAAATAAGAAAATATAAGGAAGAATCTCGATTTTCGAGAAAGATCGAGAAGATCACAGAAAAAACAGTATCCTTGAAAGAATGCAAATATGCCTTGATTCAAGTATATTTTATCCTTATAATAGCGCCAAATATAAATAATTTTTGATAAAGGATAATTTATCCTTAAAACAAAATGCAAAATATTCTTGGTTGAAGCTGAAATTTACTTATAAATATTGCAAGGACAAGTGACAAGTGTGCATCGGATATAAGCGGTACTTTCAAATATATATAATAATTCTTAGTTCAAATGTGACTAAGTTTGTTTTTACCATATGCGATTTTTAAAACAAGACTATATCTTAAGAATAAAATATACTTTACACAAACTTATTTATTATTAAGGCAAATGAAAATGTGTGATTACAAAGAGCATTCTATGCTTAAATCAATCAAATAGCGTTCAAGAATAAAAATATACTTGAATCAAGGATTCCTTTTTTTCTGTGATTATTTGAACTTTTCTCGTATTCACAAGGCACCTTGAAACGGTGATTATTATTATATTTAATGATAAATTATATGAAAAAATATTGCATTCGTGACATATCGGGTTAGAAGAATCTTCTAATTTGAAATGATAATTACGACTAAAAAATTGGAAAAAAAATGCATTTTGATCTCTAACTTTCCAAAATTTCCTCCATCCCTTATCTCGCGGGGGCGGCGATTCCACGCGCGCAATTCGGCTAAATTTATCGGACTTACGCCATTGTATACGTAAACTTGTCTGCATGTGTGATAGTGAAGCATATTTCGGCGCATCACACGCGTGCACGCGGATCACGCATCACGCACGACACTATTCGCCTATGTGCTCGGCGCTATCAGCCAATCACGTGGCTCCTAGGCCAATATCCTGCGGGATATATCACGTGCACGTATATATACACACATATGCGTGAATATGTGTGTATATATATACATATATATATATATATATATATATATATATATATATATACATATATATATATATATACATATATATATATATACATATATATATATATATATACATATATATATATATATACATATATACGTGCACGCGTGTTTACAGACGACGACGGTGCATGGAAACCATATTCTGCACCCGCACGGTCGATCTAGCGCATATATAGGACGCACACACACACATTTGCGTAAGGGCAATGTACGCGCGAAGAAACGAGGGGGAAGATCGAGCTGGTGGAAAAAAAAAAAAGAGAGAGAGACCGGGAGAAATGCGCTTAAGTGTATACGTTCACGAAAATTGCCACGCCCAAACTTCTATACAATGCATCCGCCGTTGGCTTCCGTATGTGTGCATGTGTGTGTGTGTGCGTGCGTGTAATTTCGGCACGTCGCCCTCTTGGCAACACGCACGTTGACCCCTACGCACGCACACATATATAATGATTAGTGCCCTAAACACGAATTTGGGACAACTTTATGCGGGGGATGAAGGAGGCTTCCACTCGAGTATCGAGTATCGTGAGAAAATCGCAAGTTCCAGACAGGGTGAGTAGGAAGGACGGTTATATGCGTGTGGAAACGGAAAAGTCAGTCTGCTTAATTAAGCTCGTAGATCCGTTAAGCGTGAAACCATCGGGGACAAAATGCACGCAGGCCTGCACATTTTTAATTATATCCGCGCTATATTCGAAGAATGCTATGGTAAAAGAATTTCGAAGTGATCATTTGGGAAATATTATAATGACATTTTTGGAAATATTCTTGGTTAAGAACAATTTTAACGAATTATAGAAATTAAAAATTATATAGAAAAATTATAAATAATATATAATATATATAATATAAAATATAATATAAAATATAATATATAAATGTAATATAATATAAAACACATAATATAATAAAAATTTTTAATGATTAGAAAGAAACACAATATTAGGGAAACAATCTACAAACATCAAATATGTTTGTTCTCTGTCATTTCGAAACAGTTTTATTCTCTCGTTGTTTACCTGACAAATATTAAGTAAAAGTAAGAGATTAACAGATCGAGAATTGGACAAACATCGATAACAATGTCTAGAATTGAAACGTTTGTCACGATTTTCCGCTATGTTAATTTAATGTATACTTTAATCATACTTATTTTACATTTCAATAAATTCATGTATGTTTTTTATTAACTTTTTACATTGTTAATATCGTGATTTTGTCCTTTAGCCTTGTTTATATATTGTTGCAGTGTCTATTTGAATTCGCTCGAGCAAGAAATGGTTCAGGAAAATATGCTTCTTGATTCCTCTTATCTCGCAACCGAGTCTCTAAAAAGTCAGCGCAGAGCAGCTACATATATAACGAAAACTAGAATCTAGTCGAAGAAAAATCGCTTCCACACCACGTGTCTGCGAGCGCACATTTATCTATATATGTGTGCATTTGTGTGGGTGAGCGTTTCCCTCTACGCAACCCGACTCGTCTGATGATGGTTTTCGTAGAAGGGAAAAGACGAAGACGACGATATCGAAGGGAGAAAAAGAGAAAAATAGAATATCACGCGCGCGCGCGCGCGCGTCAGGTAAAAATCCTGTTGCCCATCGAAAAAAAAAAAAAAAAGTCTACCTATATATTTCGGAGGTGGTTGGACAGGCACACAGGCAGATGCACATACGGGCTATGACAACAATCGATGCATATATATAAGGGTCGGTCTGATGCGCCGCAGGGTGCATCTTTCATATTTTTCATACCGTGACGCGTCCCACCGATCGCGGATTAGATATTATGATATATTCATATAGTCATTGTATTGATTATAGTCTACGATTTTTGTGCGCGGTCTATCCCGAGTCTAGTCGTTAAAAATATATAAATGCTCTTGAAGTGATCTTGATGACTCACGCGCTCTAATCGAGTCGATTTTCTTTTATATCGCTAGCAAATATTTGGAAAAGTCGTATACGAGTATGATTCATCGCGAAAATTTCCGATAACATTAGTGCTCGTAAAATAAAACTTGAAAAAGAATCTATTACCTATATGAATTTATAATATTTATATTTTAAAGTGAAAATTAAGGGAGAAAGAGAAGATTTATAAAAATAATATTAATTATATATTTTAATACCTTTAGAATGAAAATCTTTTTATTTCACTCCGACTTTCTTGAAGTGTATATTTTGTGAAAAATTTATTTTTTTTTCTTTGTTCATAACCCCGAAAATAATATAGTTTTCGAACATTAATAAAGAAAAAAATTACTTCAAAAAAAATTATTATAAAAATAAAAGTATATCTATAGTATTAAGGAAAGTTTCATAAATTTTTATAGTTATGTATTTTTTAGATTACGACCCTGCAGTTATTACAAATATTTATTTGTGAAGTAAATAAAGATACAAAAAATCTATATTATTTATTTAAACTATTTGCCAAAAAAAATATTTTCTCCATCGAAAAATTAACACCCATTACAAGAGCTTTCTATATTTATTTTAATCCCTTTCTTGCACTTTTCATCAACATTCCTTGTACACAGAGAGAATTTTCTCCTAGAATTTACCATGAAAATCATGGGACAACTGAAAAAAGATAAGAGTTTCTCTAATTAATATTTATCACAATAAAAATATTAATAGATATACACGCTGTAAAATTAATCGAATATATTTTATATCTTATTGTGATAAATATTAATATATTTACCATGATTTTCAGGATAAATTCGAAGAGAAAATTC